CCCCTACACCAAACCAACGATTGACTCAAATAGACCATATTGCCATCAGTCATCGTTGGAGAGAGTCGGTAGAAGATTGTCGCTCATTCTGGAGTACCTGCTTGGACTCCGACTACGCCCTAATACGGACACGCATCTGCTTGCACCTCACTGGACGCAAAAAAGCCACATTAAAAAGACCCGTTAGAACTAAGTTGAGTGACGAGAAAATCAAAAGTAGATTCCAGGAACAACTGAGGTCATACTTAGGTAGTTCTGAAGACGAGGCTGACCCAGAAGTTGCTTGGAAAGGCATACAATCAGCTGTGGAAACAGCAGTGACATCTATTAGTGGCTTAACCCACAGAGTTACAAAGAACCAGTGGATTTCTTCAAAGTCTATCACACTGATGGATTCTTGCAAACTCGTCCCATCAGGTTCTGAACATGTTGAAGAGTGTAAAGAAATCAGATCTAGGTTAAGAAAAAGTCTAAGGAACGACCGTGAGCAGTGGTGGGTAACGAAAGCAAAAGAGATGGAAAAGGCGGTGACTATAGGGAAAACGAGACAGCTTTACAGACTAATTAATAAGTCAAGTGTAAGTGAGATTATTTCGGAAAAAGACGATACTCTCATCTGCTCCCAGTCCAGACGTTTAGAACGATGGGCGGAACATTTTAGAGAACAGTTCAACTGGCCTTCAGCTACTCTACAACTACCCTCTATTCCCAGACAGTGTGAATGAAACATTGAAGTAGGTCACCCAACTCTTGCTGAAGTTGAGAAGGCTATAGTTAATCTTAAACGAGGAAGGGCAGCTGGTCCAGATGGATTGGCTCCAGAGGTCTTTAAGGATGGTAGTCCAATTTTAGCGATTAGGTTGACTAATAGTTTAGCTAAGATCTGGGAGTTAGACGTTATCCCATCTGACTGTTCGCAATCACTTATCGTCCCAATATATAAGAAAGGGTCAAAATCATCCTGTGACAACCACAGAGGGATTAGTTTAACTATTTATTTATTTATTTCAACACAGATAATGGTACAAAGAGGCACCAAATACATATGCGCCACACAAATCTCATTCGATATGTGTGAGGGCTGTGATACTGCCCGGGTGCCCAAACCGAAGCAGGTGGTTTTCTTAGGGGGCCACACCTGGAGCCTTCGACCTGAAGGTCTGATTCACAAGGCAGTGGAGCATCGTAAGGAGATGCAGTCCCATGGAAGCCGGTGACCAACGATTGGTTCATACGCCATTTGTTCCGCAGGATACTGGAGCCCATGTGCACCATTGATTTGAAATCCGGTTAAAGCGCCGGACATTCGCTTTTCGTCCTCTCATTTTCGTAAACAACACCCCCGCCATGAGAAGGCAGTGAGTAGAAGTTCCCTGGTAGAGGCTATATACGCGTGGCCGTGTGAGAGTATTTCGAGAGGGAGAGCGGACTCTCCCCACTCTCGGCCGTACCAGGGCATTTGGTTAACTAATATAGTATCTAAAATACTAGCCTCGATAATTATCGGACACACAACTAAGACTCGTGAAGTGCAAACACGAGAGAACCAAGCTGGCCTCAGACCTGGTCGTGGCTGCATCGACCACATATTCACCATTCGTCAGGTTCTAGAACAGGCATACTTATCGGCGTCCGACAATGGTGGTCTTTCCCGACTTAAAAGCAGCATTTGGCTCTGTAGACCGCGAGATTCTGTGGCAGTGTCTGTCATTGAAAGGCATACCTCAGAAGTACATAAACCTTGTGAAGGCTCTTTACTCGAACACTATTAGTCGAGTCAGAGCTTATGGCGAACTGTCATCTACTTTTGCAACCTCAAGTGGTGTCCGTCAAGGCTGTCCACTTTCTCCGTTTTTGTTTAACTTCATCATAGACCTATTGATGGAAATAACGCTCTCATCGACTGAATTTTCGGGTATTGATCTCCTACCAGGAGGTCCACTTATCGACTTAGAATACGCACATGACATAGTCCTGTTTGGTGAAGACGCTGACAAAATGCAGATTCTTTTGGTAGCACTAAGTAACAATGCCAGAATGTTTGGAATGCGCCTCTCTCCCACTAAATACAAGTTATTGATTCAGGACTGGCCTGCCTCAACACCTGAACTAAGGATAGGGAGTGAAGTAGTCGAACGCGTTGACAACTTCACTTATCTTGGAAGTCTGATAAGCCCTATTCTGTTGGTATCAGACGAAATCTCAGCACGGATTCGAAAAGCTCATTTGGCTTTTGCCAACTTACGTCACCTTTGGCGAAGGCGAGATATCCGTCTATCAATAAAAGGACGAGTATACTGCGCAGCAGTCCGTTCAGTTATACTTTACAGCTGCGAAACATGGCCTTTAAGAGTAGAAGACACCCGTAAGTTACTAGTATTTGATCACAGATGCCTTTGAAATATTGCTGGCGTCTGTTGCGATCACCGGGTAAGTAATAGTGAGGTTAGACGCAGGGTATTAAGGAATGATGGTAAATCAGTTGATGAGGTTGTGAATCTTCATCGACTGAGATGGTTGGGCTACGTGTTACGTATGCCTGAACACCGATTACCACGACGTGCAATGCTAACCGGTGTTGGAGATGGTTGGAAGAAAGTAAGGGGCGGCCAAACCAAAACGTGGCATCAGTGCTTGAAGTCATTAACTTCTAGTCTGAGCCATGTTGGTCGATGCAGACTACTTGGTTGGGGTCCGCGTGACTTTCGTAACCAATGGTTGGCGACTCATGGTGACATGGCTCAGAATCGATCACAATGGCTTCGGTGTGTACACTTTCTGTCTTCCCTTAAACTAAGAGATTAAAATCACTTCATATCTTTTTTTCTACTAACTAATTCTTTCTTCCTGTACTATATCCTTATTGCAATCTTTCTCCTATATATCACCAACTTTGACCTAACAACTATGAATCCGGTGTTCATCTTGCTGTGCTAATGAGGTATGGCAACCTAGACCGATGCACATATGTGCCTGGTCCTACGTTGTAGCTGACTGACTGAACTTGCGTCATTTATGGCGTAGGCGAGATATCCGTCTATCAACCAAAGGACGGGTTTACTGCGCAGCAGTTCGTTCTGTCCTACTTTATGGCAGTGAAACATGACCGGTAAGAGTAGAGGATATCCGTAGATTACTAGTATTTGATCATAGGTTCCTTCGAAATATTACTCGTATATCCTGGGACCATCGAGTAAGTAATGCAGTTGTTAGGAAACGGGTACTAGGTAAGGATGGCAAATCGATTGATGACGTAGTGAAACTTCATCAGTTGAGATGGCTGGGACACGTGTTACGTATGCCAAACGACCGACTGCCTCGACGTGCGATGTCCAATGGTATAGGAGTAGGTTGGAAGAAAGGTAGGGGCAGCCAGACTAAAACATGGCACAAGTCCATGAAGTCACTGACGAGTGGACTGAGCCATATTGGTAGGTGTAGACTACCTGGTTGGGATCCGCGAGATAATAGCAACCGATGGTTAGAAACCCTGAATGACATGGCTCAAAATCGTTTGCAATGGCGCAGGTGCATCCACTCTTTGTGTTCTCCCAAATTCTAATCTTCTGACTTCTTCATATCCCTTTCTTTTTCGCTTTCCAAATTTATTTCACTGGATTATACTCCTTGAATAACATCTTCAAACCCCAACTTTTCTGATCACAGCTTATAATTTTACTACATCTAGCACTACGTGATTTGATTCGACCACTGCATCTCTGTGCTAATGTGGTATGGCAACTCGAACTGATGTACATAAATACGAAGTTCTACGTTGCTACTGACTGACTGACTGCGAAACCTTTAAGTATATGCTTTAATCTATCCGTAAAGCAGGGTCGTTTACTCAAAGATTGGAAGAACGACATAGTAAGTCCTCTCATCAAAACAGGTACGAAACATAAACCTGAGAATGACCGACCCGTTAGCTGAACTAGTGTGGTTGCTGAAATCTTAGAAAAGATTATTCGGAAGGCGCTATTTAGATACCTTGATGAAAACCAGATCCTTTCGGAGAAACAGCACGGTTTCGGAATAGGTTATTCTTGTCTCACTAACTTAATAGTCGCTCGTGAAAGCTAGTGCGCTATTAAGGACCAAAAGTTACATGTAGACGTAGCCTACATTGATTTCAGCAAAGCTTTTGACAAAGTTCCGCACAACCGGCTGTTATACAAGCTAAGAAATGTCGGATTTTGAGGCAATCCATTGATGTGGATAAAAGACTTCCTAGTTGGGCGCCGACAAAGAGTACGGGTGAACTCAGTTATCTAGCTGGGAAACTGTGCTTAGTGGAGTGCCCACGGGTACAGTTTTGGGGCCAGTGCTATTCCTCTTGTATTTAAATGACCTTCCTCGTCTCCTATCATCGGTCTTGCTATGTGCTGACGATGTCAAAATATGGAGAACGATACTATGTAAGGATGATAGCTTAGAACTCCAAAATGACCTGAAGGAATTATCTGAATGGTCTCAAACCTGGCAGTTGCCGATAAATACTTCCAAGTGTGTTGTGATGCTTATCGGTCATCGAGGTACATACACATACACGATAAATAACACTGAGCTACCTGTTGTTCAGACACACAATGACTTAGGAGTCATCGTTAGGCAAGACTTAAAGACTAATGCACACTGCCGTGCAAAAGCCGGCGAAGGTTTTAAAACGTTATGGTCAATACGTAAAGCCTTAAGTCACGATAATGCTAAAAGGTTTTTGTTTTTATGTACAATGTTTGTGCATTCTAGACTCGAGTGCTGCGTACAAGCAGCTGGCCCCTGATTAAAAAAAGACAGTGAGCTTTCGGAAAAGGTTCAGAGAACAGCAAGTAAGCTGATTCCCGGAATAGCGAAGCTTCCGTATGTTGCTCGACTGGCCAAGCTAAACCTATTCCCGATGTCATATCGAAGAACTAGAGGTTACTTGATTACAGTTTTCGAATAGCTTAGTGATAAATTTGCACCTGATATGCCTTCATTTTTCTTGTCTTCCAAAACAGAGAATTTACGAGGACACTCCAAAAAACTTCACAAGCCCGGAACGAATTAGTTGTCAGCTGACTATTGACTTTCCTATCGAATCATCAATGGGTGGAATTCATTACCTCAGCGCGTGTTTGAGGCTCGGTCCGTCGACTCTTTCAAAAGAAAGTTGGATCAACTGAGAGACCATCATCGCCAGGACTAACACAAGCCAACAAGCCTCTTGTCCTTTCCAAACTGGAACTGAAACTGAAGTGTCCCATACTAATCGCTGTGGTAAACCCACCTGTCACTTTTCAAATAAGGGTGAGATTCGGTGGGACAGTTTAATTATGCTGTATCTTTTGTGCACTGGACACACCCCGGACACGTGCAATCAATCTCACAGTTTTGGGTCACTCTGGTTATACGAAATTTAGTAAAACATCTTGATACGTAAGGCCATGAGTCTAATGAGGACTGGAAACTCTTCAAGAATGTAAATTTTTTTTACAGAAAATACAGTTTTGTTTTAAATACAGAACAGTTAATGGATTCGAAAAATTCATCAAGCGCCACCATCAACTCAATCCCATATACAAACGATATCACTGTGGGAGACCAAGCATAACTATTGATAACCTTACCGATGGATCAAACTTCGAACAATAATATCAAGCTTTAAGAAGCGTTGCGGTACTATTAAGATCCAGAAGCAAGATTATGAAAGTATATCTGTAAGACTGCACAATGATGATTTACGGTAGAGCCTGATCTCGAAAATTCGGAAAGCTTCAGATACTTCAGAAAGTGAAGTTGATATGTGGGCTAAAGGGGCCTTTGAAAAAGCTGTTAGATAAAACAAAGTCTAACGTTCCGCTGGTCAGCGGACATTATTTTGAGTGGATTAATATCAAGGTCTACCAGACCATTTTTCAACCAGGTTATTTGTCTCATAAACTGAAACCCAGTTAGGTGCCCAAATGCTAGACTTGAGTATGACCTAGGTCACATTAAGTTTTTAATATCAGAACCACTCTTCGAAACAGCATCAGGAGTCAGTATATATATGAGATTTACGGAGTTAGATAGAAAATAGATTCTGAAAATGGACAGTCAAGTAATCTTTTGTAGGTAATATGTCCTTCCACGGAGGAGCAAGACTAACCAAAAGCTTGCTCAAACTTCATGGATTAGAATTTTATATTCGCACCAACTTCACTCTTGCTAATGTCGTTACCAGGTTGCCTGTAGAAATCGAAATAAACGAACGCCGTCAAATCCCAGAAAAATCTAATTCTGAAGGGCTTTTGTATTATCGAGGTTTTGAGTCTAATAATCCTCAAACTATTACTAGTGATGGTCCAAAAATCTAATAAACAGAACTTACCGTTAAGCACATCAACATTCTCTGACCGCCGGAAGAAAAGCGAAGTTTTTTAATATTATAGGTTCCATAGAACCCGATATTACCGCTCTTTCTGATGTATGGCTGACAATAAAGCTTAGTGACAATGAGGGCTGTAAATTTGGGGGTGTTGTTATTTACGTGGAAAAAACCCATCCATATAGACTGCACATGATATCAGAACGTGTGAAGTAATACCATGTAGGTTAAAATGTCAAGATATCGATTTGGTTGTAGTATACCGTAGTCTTGATTTTGAGTCTGATGAACTCCTAACTAGGCTATAATCCCCAAAACACCCTGGTAAGGCTGAGGGTGAGGAGAACCAGCTCTTCTTCTCAAAATGCTTTCTCATGGCCACGCGTATACGGCCACTGCCAGGGAAGTCCTACTCACTACCTTATCGGGGTGGCGGTGTTATTTACGAGATCGAGGGGACGAAACGCGAAAGTCCGGCGATTTAAACGGGTTAGTGGATATGGAGGATCTATCTAGGGTTGTTGGAAAAACCTGATTCTAAACCAATGGTGTACATGGGCTCCAGGACCCTAAGGGGACAAATTGTGTGTGGACCTATTGTTAGTCACCGGCTACCATGGGATGGCATCTCCTAACGTTTCTCCACTAATGGATCAGACCTTTAGGTCGAAGGCTCCGGGTGTGGCCGCCTAAGAAAACCACCTACTTCGATCTTTGTATTCGGGCAGTGACGTCATGGCGCATACGTATTCGGTGCCCCTTTGTGCCAATATTTATGTTTAAATAAATAAATATATTTAGAAGCCTTATAGTAGGTGACGTCAATAAACTATCAACTAATTGAGTAGGTTTTGTGACAGAATCATTGACCTTTGATAGTAATTAAACACACTGTCAGAACCATAAGTCGTGGCCTAATAATTTATGATGCGTTTGGTTGTCCTCAAACAGTTCATCCTCGCTATGAGAATGCAGTCATTTCTAATATGTGTGTTCGTGTTCGTAAATTCTTTTATAAATGACTTTTAAGTTCTTATGATGTCTGTGTACTGATGACAGGATGACTTGTTGAAACAATAGTTTGTAAACGAAATTCACAACCATTTCACGATGCAGGTGCCTATTATTCACCATATCATCGAAGACGGTTTTAGATTGAGAGCTTACTTTGATCAAAAGAAGAGAAGGGAAATTCATACTAAAACGTGTTGCGTATAAAAGCTGCATCAGTAGTGTGATTTCGCTCTCCGTTCAAATTATATTCGCTTCATGTTGGCATAAAAACATGTTTTTTGTTTGGAGTTATGTGATCCCTGAATATAGGTATCAACTACAAGCTGTTCTTCAGATGAATGGTAGTTAGCATTACCTTTTAAGGTTTTCGGAGTCGCTGTCTGGATCTCGATTGTTCTTAGAACATAGTAGTTGCATCCATAATTGATTTTTAAAAAATCGTTGTACTTTGAATAATATGAGAGTATGGAAATTCTGTACATCCATTTAGTTACGATACCCTGAAAGTTTTGCAGCAGTTGACAGTCTTTGGTAAAACAACTCTAATCCGAGTAAGTGATAAACCTGCAGAATTGTTTAAATCACTGATTATCCCAGTCTATAAGAATGAATAGGAATTAGTTCGTGTTTGATATTCTGGCATCGATGATCACCCGGTACTTTACTTTGGCTCGTAAATAACACAGTCAAGAAGATAAGTTTCGATTTAGATTTAGATGTGGATGAACTGTTCAAACATCCACTCTCCATCAATTCTTAGGATAGAAGCATGCTTATCAACACCCAAATAAGGTTGCAATTTTTAACCGAAGGGCTGTATTTGGCTTCAATCAAACACAAGAATACTGTAATCTTTGATGTGTTTTTACAAATATACTGAAAGTCGAGGAATAAATACTTTTCTTTTTAAGGTTTTGGCATTGTAATGATGCGTTTCCTTTTTTCACTGTCCTTGAGTAACAGAGTTTTCAAAAACAAGACATATTGTTACGCTTTCAGAATTCTATCAATTTTGTTTTTCTTTTATCTTTTACAACTGTTTTCCTAATTGATCTCACTATTAAGTATGAGTACACTAGGTATGTTTTGTAAATTCTGTGCTCACATTTTCCTTCTTTTCAGATATTCTGCAGATAGTTGATTGCCACCGCGGAACTACTACTTTTCTACATGTCTCTATTATAACGTTCTTAAAGACCAATCTCAAATTTACTAACTACCGAGACTTTCAGTCGTTTTACTTTCAGCCAAATACAACAAAGATCTATGAGGCAGATTGGTGGAAGGTGAGTTAATCACGTTTTACGAAGTCGCGGTGTGCATTTACTTACGATTTTTTTATATTTCAGATCAGTAGTATGTCGGATTTTTATTGAGGGAACGAACCGTGATTCGTTTCGAGAAACTATCAAGATAAATAGATATATCACTTAAATAACTGTTTTGCAGTTCCTAATTTCTAAATATTTCCTTGAAACAGTACACTGTCATTGATTTGCTGCTCGCTATCATCCTGTAAATTTCTTGTCGGTTTACGTTTAGTTTTTTTAAAATAATATCTAGTATTGTTTGGAAATTTCCTCTGAGATGTAGTGAAGTGAATTAGTTGCTAAAACATTCAACTTTAAATCACTGAGTTACATTTTGAGATAACCGGATAGTATCAATAATGCCTGCCAAAATAGTGTAGATCGAAGTTAGTTGCGAGATCTTATACTTGATTACTGTGTGCGTAATTCAGAGTTCGCTGTAAGGTCACAGTTATCTTAAGTATCTTTAATATTTGCTTCTCAGTTTATAATTCTAAAGTTAACACAAAAGGTTAATATGATTTTCAAATATGCTCAATTAATTTATAGCTACTGAAGTGCCTTGACGTAAAACATCCCCAAACCAGTCTCTAATGTGTCAGAATTTGCTACTAATTTAGCTTAATTTTAAGAAAAACGACAAATATGACAACTGAGCTTTTTAAATGTATTTTATAAATTAAAGATAACTGAGCGAAATTGTAAATGGGAATTCCTTTTGATAGCTGGATTTTCTCCCTAATAGGTCTAATGTTTTAAATGAATCGTCGATAAAGATTAAATGGGTCTCAACTGTAGAGTACAAAAACATGTGGTATATATTTTGGTCTGTCGTTCATTATACTATTCTATAATGACTAGCCCCCAAATGCCCTGGTACGGCCGAGAGTGGGGAGAGTCCGCTCTCCCTCTCGAAATACTCTCACACGGCCACGCGTATATAGCCTCTGCCAGGGAAGTCCTACTCACTGCCTTCTCGTGGCGGGGGTGTTGTTTACGAAAATGAGAGGACGAAAAGCGAATGTCCGGCGCTTTAACCGGATTCCAAACCAATGGTGCACATGGGCTCCAGTATCCTGCGGAACAAATGGCGAATGAACCAATTGTTGGTCACCGGCTTCCATGAGACTGCATCTCCTTAGGATGCTCCACTGCCTTTTGGATCAAACCTTCATGTCGAAGGCTCCGAGTGTGGCCCCCTAAGAAAACCACCTGCTTCGGTTTGGGCACCCGGGCAGTATCACAGCCCTCACACATATCGAATGAGATTTGTGTGGCGCATATGTATTTGGTGCCTCTGTGTACCATTATCTGTGTTGAAATAAATAAATAAATAAAGATTAACGGTAGTGAAAGCTTAGAGTTTTTAACAGTAACATATGAATTTACTGTATGTAGACGAATTAGTGTTTTCTTTAGGTGCTTCATGCCCTCAAATGCCCTGGTACGGCCGAGAGTAGGGAGAGTCCGCTCTCACATGGCCACGCGTATCTACCAGGGAAGTCCTACTCACTGCTTTCTCGTGGCGGGGGTGTTGTTTACGAAAATGAGAGGACGAAAAGCGAATGTCCGGCGCTTTAACCGGATTTCAAATCAATGGTGCACATGGGCTCCAGTATCCTGCGGAACAAATGGCGAATGAACCAATCGTTGGTCACCGGCTTCCATGGGACTGCATCTCCTCACGATGCTCCACTGTTTTGTGGATCAGACCTTCAGGTCGAAGACTCCAGGTGTGGCCCCCTAAGAAAACCACCTGTTTCGGTTTGGGAACTCGGGCAGTATCACAGCCCTCACACATATCGAATGAGATTTGTGTGGCGCATATCTATTTGCTGCTTCATTGTACCAATATCTATGTGTTAAAATAAATAATTAAAAAAGGTACTTCATAGTAAGGCACTATAGCATGTTTATGTATACATGTATGGCAAACGTGCCCTACTCACTCCATTCATACGTAATATTTTAGTAACGAATTTCTTAGTTGAATTTATTCTCTAATTTTCCAGATGGTTTCACCATAACTTAACTGGTTTGGAAGCTGAAAAACTGTTGACTTTAAAAGGTGTCAGTGGCAGTTTTCTTGCTCGTCCAAGTCACAGTACTCCAGGAAGCTTCACACTTTCAGTTCGTCGTGGCGATGAAGTTACACATATTCGCATACAAAATACTGAAGAATTTTTAGATCTATATGGTGGAGAAAAGTTTGCTACTTTGTCAGAATTGGTTACATACTACATGGAGAATGAGGGACAACTCAGAGAAAAAAATGGTGATCTTATTGAGCTGAAATATCCTCTCATTTCGGAAGATCCGACAACTGAGCGGTAAGTGACATAAGACAGTGTGATTTATCACCTATAAATTTAAGTATAAATGGAGCGTCACAAGCACTCTTTTTAAGGTGAGAATTCTCCTTAGCTTTGAATTTCCATTAAGTGAATGGAACGTAAACGTCAAGACCTTTTGATAAATTGGATCCCATACACATTGTAATATCCATTTTGTTATTCAGAATGCATGCCGCCCAAATGCCCTGGTACGGTCGAGAGTGGGGAGTCCTCTCTCCCTCTCGAAATGCTTTCACATGGCCACGCGTATATAGCCTCTGCCAGGGGAGTTTTACTCACTATCTCGCCGCGGGAGCGTTGTGTATGAAATTGAGAGGACAAAAAGCGAATGTCCGGCGCTTTATCGGGTTGGTGGATACGGAGAGTCCACCTGCGGGAGTTGGAAATCCCTGATTCCAAACCAATGATGCACATGGGCTTCAGTATCCTGAGTGGACAAATGGCGTATGAACCAATTAATTGTCACCGGCTATCATGGGACTGCATCTCTTTCCGGTGCTCCACTGTTTTGTGGATCAGACCTATAGGTTGAAGGTTCCGGGTGTGGCCCCCTAAGGAAACCATCTGCTTCGGTCTGGGCACCCGGGCAGTACCACAGCCCTCACACATATCGAATGAGATTTGTGTGGCGCATATGTATTTGGTGCCTCTTTGTACCAATATCTATGTGTTGAAATAAATAAATAAATAGGCATTCTATGTTTACGTCTATATTGCCACTATCATTTTCACAATCAATGAGATGTAACGTCTCTGACTGTGAAGCTGTGTAACACGGGACCGAATCCGCCAGGGATTGTCATTTGCCTCAAGATTACAGGTACATCCTGCTGACGAGTGCCAAATAGCACGAAACCTAGGTCCAGAGTTTCCTGTTGACTACCTCCAACCACCATCTTACTATGATTTTAGTTAGCCACATATAAGAAATAAACAATAAATCCTGGTTGATATCACAGAGTGAAACAATTGTTCCAACTGAATCTCACTTCAAAATGAAAGAAACAGACTGACAAATCATCAAGCAAGCGATTGTTTGTAGACGACTGAAGTCGATAGTGTGGTCTCATTTGTGCCCACCTAACTTATGTTAAACTGATTGACATGTACCTAATGTTATGATGATTTGTGTAGTTTGATTGGTTTCAAAACATTGACGAATGGAAGGTATCATAAGTAAGAGTGTGGTGAATCAAGATGGCATAAGTAGATTGACGACTAATGCACATCGATACTTCAACGATGACGACAGTAGACGAATAAGAGAGAATACGCAATTTTGCAAGAGCTTTCATATCTCAGATAGAGACATTTAAACAGGTAAGGTCACATCCAAAACAGTATGTCTGATATTATGGATAAAAATGACTAAAATCCAGATGTAAATGATTGGAAGTGATTAACAAAATTCATATTCCCTGGTCAATTTTGATTGCTGATCATGCAACTTTATTAGATGTAAAGTCATGCTTTTGGTCTAGTCTTTGATCAAACTTTAATCAGAGGTTTCGGCCAATAATTTGGTATGGTGATCAACCATCAAAATCTGCCACATTAGTAACGAGAATTAAATATTTTGCACAAACGGATATGAAAGAACACGAAATAGGAAGTGCTATATTTGTTGATTAAGAGACAGTAATTCGTCAGACGTTTTGATTGGAACAAATGGGTGTCAAGAGGAAACGAAAAAAATGTAATCAAAAGTAACAAAAAGGAAGGAAAACTAATAAACGACAAAACAGTCGGATAACTTACAGGCCAAGAAATATAATTGGCATTGATGTAGTCAGAACCAGGTTCTTCAGGATTACCATCAAGAAGTTTAACTTGAGACCAATCAAATGGAAGGATATGTTTATACCGGTTTTTATCTCGGTTGTAAGACTGATAGCCTTCAACACGTGGATTATTCTTCACCTAAAATATAGAACAGAATTAAAATCACAATCGATTAATCGTAAAACTTTCCAAAACCAAAATCAGCAACCTTGTTTACAAACACGGAGACAAAGGTAATGATTTGTAACTGAAACCAAAAGCCACCACAGGACAGACTGGATACCAAACTTCAACAGACCTACAAATACTTTGTGTAAGATGCAACGATTGTAAACATTGTCAACGACAAACCAACAAACACAGAGCTATAGTCAGTGTTGTAACCTTGATAAATAATCGACTTCAAATGGAAAAACAGAAAAGAAACGTTAATATAATAGTATTCAAAATCGGTTTAGAGCGTATTCACTTGGATACTAACAGACGTGACATAAAATATACGTTAGGAATATCTTTTCGAACCACAGAGTAGACATCCAATAATTACGACAACTTTGAAGTTCGTGAGACAAAAATGTAGTGAGTAATGCTCATTAAATGTTCTATTCATTGACACAGTCTGAACCCATAATATGGAAAACCTCCAAGTTAGTTATTGCTTGCAAACGAAAATATGGTGTCCAATGGGTTCCGAGGTTGCGTTTTGTTATTCCATCACCATATATTGTACAACGAGCGTTGTGAAGAATAACTGATCGTATGTCTTCACGCACTTCACTATTCTCTTTCGGATCAGTGACCACAATAACATCGATTATCTCTAGGATTATCGCCTAAAGTGATGCTGAAACGCGTCTGATAAATGTCGGTTGTGAATTGAAGTTTAAATACTGAATGTTGAATGGGTTATGTTTTCGTTGAATTTCAGTGAGGGAGTAAGTCTTAGGTAACTAAAGACAACGGCTTACTTCCAAGTTACTCTGACCAAAAATCGCAATTTAGTAATATGTTGACTTGAAGTGATTTAATCTACTCCAAACACTAAGTGTCCACTTTCGCTATTTCATTTTTAGGAAAATATCTCGACTAATTAAAGCCGGTGAATAATATTTTCTCACTTGAATCGACAAATATGTATTTTTATAAGGGCATTTTGAGGGAGATAACATTTTCATCACTGCACGCACGTGTGTTCGAATCCTTTGTGCAAATAGTCTTTGAATCATATCTTAAATTAAAATTCATTATGTGTATTTTTAAGTGAGCTGAATATTTTATAACTGTTATGTTTTATTTGCTTTTGGTAGTTCTCTTCTAGTACATGGTAAAACTGAATAGCATTTGCAATTGATATCTTATACCAATCAGAACGAAATATATATAAAGAAACAGTATGACTACTTTTAAACACCTTACCGTCACTCTGCCTAGTGGTCTTTAGTTTGCGAATGTTCCCGAAGTCTATCATAAGTTGATCAGTTTCACAGCATGGAATGAACTGACCTGCATACGTCTTACTCCAGTCAATATATAACTGTAACGATTAGTCCATGGTTTCTCTGTTTTCTAGAATTCGCTTACCTTGGTCTCACATAAATCTGAGAGTACAAAGTCTGCAATTTGACGTAGTAAATCAGATACATGCAATATACCATTCCCAAAATAGTTACTTGGTAAAAAATATGAAATCATTGAATATTATTTTATATTTTCATATCAGTAGTTATTGGATAGTTTTTATTTTTTAAAATACCGATTTGTCCACATGGTTGTTTGTTTCTAGGTATAGTGTACAAATATTTTAATAGTTTTACTTTTTTACAGTTGGTTTCATGGAAAAATCACCGGAAAAGAAGCTGAAAAGATGCTATTAGAACGGGGCAAACCTGATTGTTTTCTGGTTCGTGAATCTGTTCACCGACCAGGGTCTTATGTCCTGTCAGTTCTAACAGGTGAACAAGTAGCACATATTATGATTCATGGGAAGCCAAATGGAATGTATGATGTTGGAGGAGGGCACCAGTTTTCTTCATTAAAGGAATTAATAGACTTCTACACAAATACTCCCATGGTCGAAAAAAATGGAGGCTTAGTGTCACTAAAACAGGTAAATCAAAAGTTGATATATTCCCCGAAAAAATATATGGCTAGTCAGACGTAATCAACATGTGGCTTGATACAAATTTACATCAACCTGGTCACAAAACAACAACTAGCAGAAGTAAAATTAAGAAAATAATTTTTGGAAGAACTTGAGATAATACTGGTCACAATTGTGGTGGACAAGATTAGATATTCGAGAATACGGCTTTAAAATAAGAGATGAATTTCATGAATATAAGTGCAGAATTACGTTGAAACTCAAAATCTAGATGGAAGTAATGAATGAGTTCATTTACTCCACTGTAATCGGCTCTCAGTCATATCACCCAACATCTCCAAGCTATGATCTGTTATCTCATAGATTCTAAGTAGGTAGTCTACACCTACCAACACATCTTAGTCCAGTATAAATCTTTGTGAATAGGTAGTTCATTTCATCGTCTAGAGTTCTTTCACTTCATTCACTGGTTTCTAAACACTACATTGTCTCTGCAAAATTGAAGAAAAATTCACAACTTATCAAGACTATGGATTATCCCATCTATTTCATAATTTTTTAAAGTGTGGTGAATTGACTATCAAGTCGTTTTAATGTACGGTTCATTCATGTGTGTAAAAGACCGATGGCTTAAATTTCTGGATCTTTTGTCATGATTGTTTTTAACGCTATTCCATATTTGGAATATCGGACTGTAGGGATTAGAGATAAAAATTGAACTTTAAACAGTGAAAACGAGTCATTTAAAAAAATGTGAACGTAAACTAAGTCATTTGAACTATGTGTTGCGCACAGAAAGCCATAGTCTAATATGTAGTTCTTTGTGATTACAAACGTATAATGGGGTAGGTCCAACGATAACTAAAGTATGTCAGTCAGCCCACTAGGTCGCTTACTACTTTTCGGTTGCGTGAGGTATAAATCAGTTCAGTAACCAACAAAACTTTATTGTTGTTTTATAGTGAAACAAACTCATTCTAAATCATCTATTTATATGAATTACTTCACCTGTAAATTTTCTAGACTATGGAATAACCTACCACAATCTATCCGCACGATAAAATCACTCCCATTATTTGTTCGATGCATACTGCTCCTCTGAAAATGCATTGAATGGTCTAGCACCTGCAAGTGTATCTCATTCCACAAGTGATATTTTAGGAACTTTAAATCTTTAGCCATCTTTATTATTGAATCCCCTAAGTAAAACCACCCACTTGCTGTCAATATGTTAACCCTGTCCCTAGCAATTTTAACTAATTTGAATAACATCAACAGTATATCACTGTGTCACATGACACACGCATCTAGGTAGACCTGATTCATATATTTTGGTAATTACTGCTTTGTTTTTCCGTGCTCTGTGTTTTCGTTTTAATTTCTCTAGTTGTAGATAATTATCATTAATTCGATCTAGCACACGAATTGACCTTAATTACTCCGTTCATAAATCAACAGGCTGTCCATTTAGGAAATATTAAAAATTCCCGGCTGATGCATTGGATCACTGTAATACATGTACTACCTAAACAATTACTGAACTTGTATACTTAAAACGTTCTTCTATCACATGTTTGTTCTGTACATCTAATGTTCCTCTTTATATCAAACTGATCATGCCTGTAAACTGGCGTGAATTCTGTAATTATTATTTTCAGAATATAAATAAATTAAATTAAATAACAAGATAGACATCAAACTGTCATTGTTTGTTGTTATATGACTAGAGTTATTTTTTCTCTGATGCTCTTAGGATTAAAGAAACAGTTATAATAACATTATTAATAGTTGTTTTGTCGTGTTACTGTAGAATGAATGTCACATAAATACCCAGAATTTATCTTATTTATTACTACTTGCCACCTAATACATTTATATGAGCCAGATATCTTAAAGGTACAGAGAGCTATAGAAAAGTTTATTTCCAGCTATTCATCATAATCCATCGTTCTAATTGACTAGTTTTAAGCTATTATTAAGTCATAATATGTTTTTGTTCTTATCATGAGAGCTGCAACTAAATTTATTATGTCTTGATTTCTTGTTTGTTGTATAACTGCAATAATTCGCCGGATTTGGATACTAAAGATCCCGTCAGACATATGTATGTAGTGAACGAACACTCAGGTGGGAAAACCGATTTATTATTTATTGCAAAATTACAAAGTACTTTCACAAAATATGAAAACGACACATTAAATATATAATTTGCACATCTTCCATCAGTTGTCCTTTACATGCTTCATGATTCTTTCGATTCCGTTGTTATTAAAATTACTTTCTGTTTTTGTAAATTGAATCTTCTCATGGGATGCTTTCCTCTTTCGACTAGTGCTACATACTACTTATATCTATCAACATGAGTAGTATACACCACATCATTACTGGTTGCTTTTATTGAGTTTTTCCTTGATCTTAATTAATTTCTAAAATAAGGTGAAAGTTGTACTGATATTTTCTAATGTTAAATAAATGCTCAAATAAAACTATCTCGGATTTTTACTTAAACGATCCTTTCCATAAAATTTGGTTTGACTATTAATCTAACGCTGTTATTACTTTTACATCAGAATATAGGTTGTGAGGTGGATATTTTATTTTAGATTGCATAATTTCATCGTAGTAACCACATAAGATAAACGGATCTGAGGTTTTTATGTATATATTTAAGGCATCGAGTTGTATCTCTAATTTTTCTTCAAGAATAATAATATAAAGGTTACTGATTTGTAGATGGGACTTTTACAAAACCTTTATTTACTTATGTACTTTTTTGATGTGTGCACGAATGTCACAACTCTTACAACGTACTGTTCATATAAATATCCGTAATAATTTTTTTCTCAATTAGCCTTTCAATGCTACTCGATTTAACGTTTCTACCATTGATCAGCGTATGCATCAGTTGGAACAAGAAAGTGGTCATGGTTCCGGGTTAGCTGGATTTTTAGAGGAATTTGAAGAGTTGCACCAGGAAGCTCATGTAATTTTATTTTTTGTATCTTGAAATTTTACTCCGATTGACTTACTATGTGCTTGTTCTGGGCTCTCACAATAAAGCATCAAATTTCCCTAGGTTTCATAGAAAACAATGTGTAGCTTTTTGTTAATTTCGAAGGTTCATTTCTAAAGAGTCTTACAACAGGTTCATTTCCTGCAAGAATACCCTACCAGCATTTTAGATTCCATTTATAATCCTTTTCGTTGAACAGTTACATTTTATAACAACAGTTTCCGCGATTTTGAATTTTTACATTGTCCGGGTCACACATGTTTCTTCGAATCTCGTTTAACTTCACATTCAGTTATGTAATAGGGAATGGAGTGCAATACAATTTGATCTACTGTTCAAACTATTTGATACTAACTACTTATCGAATTTCGAAACATGGCAAAGCTGAACGACAACTTTTGAATATCTTTAGCGTTCTGGAAATTGGCCATTATAACTGATATTTGTGTGAGAAAGGTCAAATAATAATTATAAAGTTGCGTCTAGATTGATTTGCCGTATTGTTTACACTAACGTTTTCATACAACCGACGAGTCAAATTTTTATGAAGTACCAGCTAGTTTGAAATACTCCAAGTCAACATATCACTAAATTGCGATTTTTGGTCAGAGTAACTTGGAAGTAAGCCGTTGTCTTTAGTTACCTAAGACTTACTCCCTCACTGAAATTCAACGAAAACATAACCCATTCAACATTCAGTATTTAAACTTCAATTCACAACCGACATTTATCAGACGCGTTTTAGCATCACTTTAGGCGATAATCCTAGAGATAATCGATGTTATTGTGGTCACTGATCCGAAAGAGAATAGTGAAGTGCGTGAAGACATACGATCAGTTATTCTTCACAACGCTCGTTGTACAATATATGGTGATGGAATAACAAAACGCAACCTCGGAACCCATTGGACACCATATTTTCGTTTGCAAGCAATAACTAACTTGGAGGTTTTCCATATTATGGGTTCAGACTGTGTCAATGAATAGAACATTTAATGAGCATTACTCACTACATTTTTGTCTCACGAACTTCAAAGTTGTCGTAATTATTGGATGTCTACTCTGTGGTTCGAAAAGATATTCCTAACGTATATTTTATGTCACGTCTGTTAGTATCCAAGTGAATACGCTCTAAACCGATTTTGAATACTATTATATTAACGTTTCTTTTCTGTTTTTCCATTTGAAGTCGATTATTTATCAAGGTTACAACACTGACTATAGCTCTGTGTTTGTTGGTTTGTCGTTGACAATGTTTACAATCGTTGCATCTTACACAAAGTATTTGTAGGTCTGTTGAAGTTTGGTATCCAGTCTGTCCTGTGGTGGCTTTTGGTTTCAGTTACAAATCATTACCTTTGTCTCCGTGTTTGTAAACAAGGTTGCTGATTTTGGTTTTGGAAAGTTTTACGATTAATCGATTGTGATTTTAATTCTGTTCTATATTTTAGGTGAAGAATAATCCACGTGTTGAAGGCTATCAGTCTTACAACCGAGATAAAAACCGGTATAAACATATCCTTCCATTTGATTGGTCTCAAGTTAAACTTCTTGATGGTAATCCTGAAGAACCTGGTTCTGACTACATCAATGCCAATTATATTTCTTGGCCTGTAAGTTATCCGACTGTTTTGTCGTTTATTAGTTTTCCTTCCTTTTTGTTACTTTTGATTACATTTTTTTCGTTTCCTCTTGACACCCATTTGTTCCAATCAAAACGTCTGACGAATTACTGTCTCTTAATCAACAAATATAGCACTTCCTATTTCGTGTTCTTTCATATCCGTTTGTGCAAAATATTTAATTCTCGTTACTAATGTGGCAGATTTTGATGGTTGATCACCATACCAAATTATTGGCCGAAACCTCTGATTAAAGTTTGATCAAAGACTAGACCAAAAGCATGACTTTACATCTAATAAAGTTGCATGATCAGCAATCAAAATTGACCAGGGAATATGAATTTTGTTAATCACTTCCAATCATTTACATCTGGATTTTAGTCATTTTTATCCATAATATCAGACATACTGTTTTGGATGTGACCTTACCTGTTTAAATGTCTCTATCTGAGATATGAAAGCTCTTGCAAAATTGCGTATTCTCTCTTATTCGTCTACTGTCGTCATCGTTGAAGTATCGATGTGCATTAGTCGTCAATCTACTTATGCCATCTTGATTCACCACACTCTTACTTATGATACATTCCATTCGTCAATGTTTTGAAACCAATCAAACTACACAAATCATCATAACATTAGGTACATGTCAATCCTGAGATTTTTAAGGATGGTGGTCCAGTATTAGCAATGAGATTAACCGAGGTCTTAGGTAGAATTTGGGAACTGGACGTAATCCCATCTGACTGGTCTCAATCACTGATTGTGCCAGTCTATAAGAAAGGACCTCTTGTGACAATCATAGAGGAATCAGTTTAACTAATATAGTGTCTAAAATATTAGCTTCAATAATATTTCGACGCCTAACTAAAGCTCGTGAAGAACAGACTAGAGAAAATCAGGCTGGTTTTCGACCTGGACGTGGTTGTATAGACCAAATATTCACACTACGTCAGGTTCTAGAACACAGACACACGTTTAGACGCCCCACAATAGTAGTATTTCTCGATCTTAAGGCGGTATTCGACTCTGTTGACCGTGAGGTTCTATGGCAGTGTTTGTCACTGAAAGGAGTACCAAAGAAGTACATTAACCTTATTCAGGCTCTCTACTCGAACACAACTGGTAGAGTGAGAGCTTATGGCGAACTGTCATCAGAATTGATTACCTCAAGTGGTGTTCGTCAGGGCTGTCCACTCTCTCCATTCTTGTTCAACTTTGTGGTCGACGTACTTTTAGAGATAACACTCTCCTCATCTAAATTTCCAGGGGTTGAACTTCTATCGGAAGGTTCACTTGTTGACTTAGAATATGCAGATGACATAGTTTTATTTGGTGAAGACGCTGACAAAATGCAGAGTCTTCTGACCACTCTAAGCAACAATGCAAGCATGTTCGGGATGCGATTCTCTCCCTCGAAATGCAAAATGTTGCTTCAGGATTGGGTTACATCGACACCCGAACTAGTGATAGGGAGTGAAGTAGTCGAGTGTGTCGACCGCTTCACTTATCTTGGAAGTCTCATCAGCCCTTGTGGTTTGGTGTGTGACGAAATCTCAGCACGGATACAGAAGGCTCGACTAGCTTTTGCCAACTTGCGTCATTTATGGCGTAGGCGAGATATCCGTCTACCAACCAAAGGACGTGTTTACTGCGCAGCAGTTCGTTCTGTCCTACTTTATGGCAGTGAAACATGGCCGGTAAGAGTAGAGGATATTCGTAGGTTACTAGTATTTGATCATAGGTGTCTTCGAAGTATTGCTCGTATATCCTGGGACCACCGAGTAAGTAACGCAGCTGTTAGGAAACGGGTACTAGGTAAGGATGGCAAATCAATTGATGAAGTAGTGAAACTTCATCAGTTGAGATGGCTGGGACACGTGTTACGTATGCCCAACCACCGACTACCTCGACGTGCTATATTCAGTGGTATAGGAGTAGGTTGGAAGAAAGCTAGGGGCGGCCAGACCAAAACATGGCACAAATCCATGAAGTCACTGACGACTGGACTGGGTCATGTTAGTAGGTGTAGACTACCTGGTTGGGAACCGCGAGATGATAGCAACCGATGGTTAGAGACCTTGAATGACATGGCTCAAAATCGTTTGCAATGGCGCAGGTGCATCCACTCTCTATGTTCTCCCAAATTCTAATCTTCTGAATTCTTCATTTCCGTTTTTTTCCTCTTTCCAAATTTATTTCACTGGATTATACGCGTTAAATAACATCTCCAAACCCTAATCTTCCCGATTACTGCTTATACTCTTGCTACCTCTACCACTACGGGATTTGAATCGACCACTGCATCTCTGTGTTAAGGTGGTGTGGCAACTCGAACTGATGTACGTACGTACGAAGTTCTACGTTGTTACTGACTGACTGACTGACATGTCAATCAGTTTAACATAAGTTAGGTGGGCACAAATGAGACCACACTATCGACTTCAGTCGTCTACAAACAATCGCTTGCTTGATGATTTGTCAGTCTGTTTCTTTCATTTTGAAGTGAGATTCAGTTGGAACAATTGTTTCACTCTGTGATATCAACCAGGATTTATTGTTTATTTTTTATATGTGGCTAACTAAAATCATAGTAAGATGGTGGTTGGAGGTAGTCAACAGGAAACCCTGGACCTAGGTTTCGTGCTATTTGGCACTCGTCAGAAGGATGTACCTGTAATCTTGAGGCACATGACAATCTCCCTGGCAGATTCGGTCCCGTGTTACACAGCTTCACAGTCAGAGACTTTACATCTCAGTCGTACATGAGGTCATTCGCGGCTCAAATCGCCTAGTGGTAACGTCTCTGACTGTGAAGCTGAGTGACGCGGGACCGAATCCGCCAGAGAATTTCAGTTCCTCCAAGATTTCAGGTTCACCTTGCTGACGAGTGCTAAGTAGCACGAAACCTAGGATCAGGTTTTCCTGTTGACTACCTCCAACCACCAGCTTATATCATTATAGTGCTCGCAATGTTGAGTCACCTAGAGTAGTGGCCACATTGCAACTTGATCGATAGGATTCGATCTGCACTAAGAAGGACCTGACGCACATGACATTGATCACCACTCATTGATCAGTCATTTGTAAGTAAAATTGAATTCTATGGATTAATGAGTTGTCTTTTTATATCAAACACTGATTCACCACTGACTTTGTGACAGTTTTCTCTGTTTTTTATCGTTACCACCTAAGGAGGATGATTTCGAACATGTTTTTTAGAATTATTGATTATAATTTTTCCAGTTATTGAGCTTCACTTTTTATACCTAACGTGCTGCAGGTCCATCTAACTGAATCTCTTTCTAATGGAAGTTCTTTCTGTTGTGTCAAATATCACCCAATTTCTTCAGTTTCTGATCAGAATAATAGTCAACAATGTAATGCTTCTATCACTACCTCCAATTCTCCACACACTCCAAATAGTTCTGCTGCGTTTTTTTTCAATGGAAAACCACGTTACATAGCCACCCAAGGGGCAGTTGCTAATTCACAAGATGCATTTTGGCGTATGATATGGCAAGAAAAAAGTGCCGTAATCGTTATGATCACGAAAATAATGGAACGTGGTAGGGTAGGTCATATTTGCTAAATATCTGTCTTTTTCTCTATAAGTGCCCTAAAGTTACAAAAAAGACAATCGTTTCATCTTAACCTTTTCTCAGTCATCGTTTATATGGTTTGTGTGGTTTATAAAATCGTATTAGAAAAAATTCCAAATTTTCACTATTTTTAAGAAAAATCAAGGATCTCGTGAACAATTTTCTGTATTCAACATTCATCTACTGCGATGATAGCCACATAAATTTATGTGTCTTAACAGTTTTTATAGTTTTTTCATTGCATTGAAATCACTAAAAGTTTTGACGAAAGTATTGGAGATTAGTTACAAACTCAATGCATGCATAAAACACTATTTAAGATAGTCACTCTTTATTGTAATTCCGCAGAGGATTAAATTTTGTTTTCTCATGATTATCTTTACTATTCTGTTGATTAAAATTAGTCTAGAGTGACCAACCGTAATTAGAACTTTCCTTAAGCTTTAAGTAAAGTCATCAAAATTATTTTATAGGGTCCCTTAAATTCAGTATTGCTTCATGAGACATGTCACAGAAAAAGTAATGTCATGTTGTTAGTATCTAGCAACAATGTAATTCAAAAGAATTTTTGAAAGCTTATGTGACAAGATTCTTTCCTAAAATTATCTCTTGCTCATTAAGGTACCTATCCATCGTCAACTAACTGTATACACATGATAATAATGTTTGATGAGTACTTCCCAAATTCTCAGGATGTTTTATATAGTCACACTAGTTAGTTTTGAATTTTTAAATGAAAATAACTTTATATGATTTGCAAAACTTGTATAGTCATAAATTTATGTATAAACTACCAAACTGACATTTAGAAACAAACGAACGTACATTGCATGTTTCGTTTCTTCGGTTGTCCAAATCGAGTCTTGATAAATTTCCCTCAATAATACATATGCTGTGTATAGAGATCCATTAGTTGAGAGATAATTTTTATTTAGATGCCAAACAATTGTCGATTGCTGCATAATATTTAATAAATGAATAAAAATTCCTTGCCATGTACTATCTTTACTTCGATTACAGAATAAATGTATTCGTTATTGGCCAACTGCAGAAGAAGGCATACGAGAATTTCCAAATTATGGTGGTACGATTCGTGTCCGACATTTGTCTGAAAGGAATTCTGTTAATTACACGCTACGTGAACTTTATATGACTAGAGATTCTTCTGTATCAACAAAAAACGTAGAACATCAGTTTCCTCATTTACCTGAATCTGTTACTTCCACTTCTACTTGTTCGAGTCCTACTATCTCTGGCACACGATTTGATCACAAGCATTACAAATCAAGTAACACAAAATTGCATCAAACCGATACCACCCTATCAACCGTCAGTAGTCTTGAAAGTGCATCTAGAGAAGTGAATTCAGGAAATGGACTTACTGTTTATCACTATCATTTCACTGTTTGGCCGGATCATGGAACTCCTAGTGATCCTTCGTGTGTACTCGATTTTATGCATGACATATCCGCTCGACAGGTAAGTGAAATACTTGTATCCACTTTATGGTTATCCTTGAAAGTATACTTACAAATGTCTTTAAACGAGTGAATAGATTAAGACCTTATAGTATCTCAATTGCATTGGGTATTTCTCTTGTGTCTGATCAGTTAAATCAGTTTAGTTAAATATTGGTTTATCTTTTTAATTTTTTATTAAATGGGTAAAAACGTATACATTGAGTCAATCAAATATCAGTTCAAACGATAAATGCACGCGATTGGAATTTCTAAGGAACGAGACATGCGCCATTAATGGTTTAATTTTCTAATGGTCAGACGTATATATATATATATATATATATATATATATATATATATATATATATATATATATATATATATATATATATATATATATATATATATATATATATATATATATATAAACATCCGTTCTCACCATTGTCTTTTCACTCGAGTAGCCGACTGAGTTAATGTGTAGGAACATTGCTTATCAGTATTGAAAGTGGAAACCGAACAATACAACAAAAACACGTTTTAGAGATATATTAGTATAACGAAAAATGTTTACTTTTGATAACTTCCAATCTTTGTTCAGCTGTCATTTCTTTGTAAACTGTTAGTGTATACATGAATATAGCACTAAGATTTCAGTGTCGTTTAGTAATATTTCTATGTTAAAATAGTGTAATCCTTCAACTTAAGAAAGCTATTTTAGTTTTCTTTAGAAAAATGTCTAAATTTTTCTTTTTTTCACGTTCTACGCGAATCTTCCTATTAAATAGTTGGTTTTCACATCATCTTTTTTATTCTCTATAACTTCACGTTGGTAAGCAATACTGTCCGAAGCGTAAGTTGATTGCTGAATTCCCAGAATCCAATTCTAAACAAGAAACGGGTCTGAACTATTTAACATCAATGAAATGATTAACGCCGATTACAAACTAATAACGTGTCATTATTTGTTACTGGATAACGTTTGTGAAGTTTTGTCTTACCTGACTTAAATAGAATAACTTCTTTCTGTTTATACGACCGCCGGAATGAGTGTGTAACCAATCGAACTTAGTATTGATAATGGATTTATTAAATATTTGATTCCCCGAAGATTATTATTTTATGAAGTATATCTGTTCCAATTAACCTTATATAGACCATAGAACAAAGTTATTCAACGTTTAATACTCTTAAATCGGCCGAACATTAGGCTAAGTTATTTGCCACTGGCTAACCAAATGCTTTTTTCAGTTTTGTTACCACTTTTGACCTTATTGACTTTCGTAAGCTACTTGATGGACAAGAATTTATGAAGTACGTAAAAATGCCCAGTCATATGGTTTAACATATCCTAGCTTCTCTCCCAATTTCTTTGTCGTCGTGTCAAAGAGTGTGTCGTCCATACAATGTGTTTCTAATTAGTCAGTCGATCAAGATTAAATCGTATTTGTCAGAATATAACGTAGACCTAATTGAAATCTAATAACACGCTCTAGCAACCCAATGAATATAAATAATTACTTACATTGTACCTAAGATGTATTGATTGTTTTCTTGTTTAACTCATTTTAAAAGAGAATGTCGACTTACTAAAATTTATTTGATACCTTTTTATTTTTCTTAAAATTGTTGCTTATCGTATTCATTTTTTTCACTGAGATTTAGCTACATTCGAAACTAATCTGTCAGATGGTTGTTAGAGATGCAGCTAATTTGAGAGTAGATGTTATAACTTGAGAATCCCCGTCACAAATATCGACTTGGGAGTATTATAAGTCACATGACTATAGACACTTGTCTCTTTGTTTGCTTGAGGACTAGATATCGAAAAGGAGAAGTGCGTCGATATAAAGTAGGATAAAATTCTTTACGATTCGAAAATAGTCAATCTTGTGCAGTCCATAAATTGTATCCCTTTTTTTCTTTCAGTGGCCAATCATAGTCTGTATTATCTAGATAGATCAGTAACTTTTGTTTTTGATAGATTCGAAATTATGTGGAAGCAGCTGTCGTATACCATTTTGTTTTCAGTAGCTCTCTAGCAAATGTTGGTCTGTGAACTATTTTTGTGTCTTCCCATGTAGTGATGTATTGTAAATGTTTCATTATTTGAAGTGGTATTTGCTTTTATTTTTCTTCAGGATAGTATCCCAGGCGCTGGACCTATTGTTGTACACTGTAGTGCAGGTATTGGACGTACTGGAGCATTTATTGTAATCGATATGCTCATAAATTATATCAAAACAATGGGCCTTAATTGTGACATAGATATTTCCCGTACAATCCAAGCAGTTCGTGAACAACGTTCTGGGATGGTGCAAACTGAAACTCAGTATAGATTCATTTATAAAGCTGTTCAGCAATATGTAAATACAATGTCCAAGCGTATACAAATGGATAATGTGAGTTTTTTCATTTTCAATTAAAAATCGAAACATGTTAATACCATAGTTTACATATAGTGATCATTTCTCGAATTTTTTCTCGATGACAATATGGATGAACATCCATGCACTCGCTGTCAACTGTCTCACATATTTCTAAGATTTCTTGAAAGTTTAATACTTCTAATTATTCATCTTATTAAATAAACCAAAAGAATATTTCCGCTATTTGATGAACACAGAAAAAACCTCTGGTATTATATTCCAGCACTAACTTTTCAGATAATTGAAACGACCCATTGTTTCATTGAATAAAAATAAACGGAATTCAGCGAAGAGAATTTTTTTCGGCGAAATCATTTACTTAAGCTGCAATTTATATTCGTCCTTGTATTCTTCTCTTACAACTTGATTATTGCGTAACCTGATTTGACAATAAGAATCTCGAATCACTTTGTGACGCAATCTTTTCTATTATTCTATAAACATATACCTACCACACAACTATAAATTCGAATGTACAGCTTAATTAAATGATTTTGTCGGAAAAATTCTTCTCACTGAATACTCTGTTTTTTTTCCCAGTGGATTGCCAGTTTTATTTCCTAGTGAAAACCAATTTATTAATAATAAACGCTGTCTTAAAAACCGTGTGACTATAAATATCTGTTACTTTGATTCCAAAATGCTCATAGGATCTTCGCCGTACTGGAAGAGACTACACTAATATCAATCGTGCTGCTGATGATATTGGTGTAATTGGAACATCAGCTGTCAATATATTTCCAACGGTTTGTCCATCATTGGGTCTCAACTCCCATGAACAACAAAGTGTGACATCAAACTTTATTCCTGGAGCAAGTATCAACACACCATCAGTTACTGGATCTTCTGTGCCTGCTTCAAACAAGCAATGCAATTGTCCTATTCACTCTTGTTCTCAACGACAACCAACATCAAACCATAATATATCTCAAGCTTCCGCCTATCCCACCAACTGTTCACAAACTGCTGTTTCATGCACAACATTGCCTTGCACTACTCCAGTTGTATCCGTTTCGCCTCGCAATGCGGATTCTGTAACTGGGGGCTTCTTCCATCGACTGACTGCACCAAGTCGTTCCCGTACGAAGTCATGACACTTTTTGAAGACATTTTATCCGATTAATTTAATGTGAGTTTTTGTCAGAATTTCATCAGGAAATAAAGTATTTATTTATTTTATATTGTGAAATGTATGAAAGCGTTAACTTTTAGAGAACTATCATTTCAACTGCCACACCACATGTTGTTAATTGTGTATTTATGTTCGTTTAATGGCTTGCGATCTGATTCCATATGATCGAGTAATATTGATTCTAATGAAATGTATATCTTTTTTATATATATTAAGTCGACGTATCTTGTCGATAACAACATGGATAAGAGAAGTATTTGAGGAAAATATATTCCAAGCATAATTTAAACAAGCAATAAGAGACGAGAAGAAATACACGTGAACTGAAGTGGGAAAAATAACCGACTCTGTGAGTACTAGGTGACCTAGTCTTCGTGAACATGTACTCAACATAAGTATAGAGATATGTACACACTAGCATGCACACATGTACAAAACATGTTCAAGGTTAAATGTAAGTAATTGATCAGGTCTGACAAATAAAAAGATAAGAATGATTTATCTGACCAAAAGTTGGAAAAAATCACGTAAGCGTGTAATAACATCGACGTGCTACAATCAATTTCTGGACATAACTCTTCTCGTCCTAATCTTTCAATAGTTGAGCTCCAACCAAAAGACTGTCATTAACGTAGAGTAGAAAGAATACATATTTCTTATTGATGAAGGTGTCAATAAAGTGAAATTTTCTGAACGCTTCGAGTTATAACGAAAGGATTATCTTTCTTATGTATTCCACCACAGCTCCATTTCTTCTCATCATAGTTACGTCTACTTTATGGGCCTCGTCTGCTCAACATATCGGAATGGATGTTTGAATTGATTTTATTGAAAATATATTAAAGTTGTCTAATAAATAGATGAGATATATATTCGCAGAAACTTTCGATTCAAGCTATTAATTTTGCACATAAATTGTAAATCTTTGGAACTTGAGAAGTATTAGTAGTAGTTGATTTTATATATTAATCGTATTTTGTTTTCTAAAGAATTTATCAAACTTCACTTAAACTTTTGTCGTCCCTAGTTATCATTTGCAAATCAATAAATATTGCAAGAGTTTCTTCCCATTTCCTAATCTAAAGATATGTCAAGATCTTGTATGTATTGTTTTAACTATTTATGTGATTTTATATATATATATATATATATATATATATATATATATATATATATTTGTGCAAACAAATTTTGTTGTATAATAGCCAACGTTTTGTTTGCACTGCCTACTTTTACTATTTTATTCTTTGTTACTGTAGGTAAAGAAGCATTAGTGATATCTGAAATGTATGTAATTGTACTCATTTATTACATGTATGACTTTAAACAGATTTTGTTTATTTAGAAATCATCACAAAACATTATTGGGTTGTTTTTTTCCCCTTTATCACCAAAATATCAGTAGTTATCTTATTTGAATAATAAATCATTGAAATCTATATTTTGTTAAAATGTGCTGTATACAATGATAGTATGAATATGTAAATGGTATTATCAATATTGAGTTGTTTTTTGATTTTTGTTATTATTTACCAATTATGTTAGTTGGTTTTTAATTTTAATAATACTCCAAATATTTGTTAAAATGAAAAAAAAATTATCTCTTATTATATACTTGCACAAATACTGTTTTCTATCAATAAAATAAATTTTATTATTATTTTTTTGACTTATCTTTTTCCTTCTTCTTCTTCTTCTTTTGAATAACAATTTTTTGTGTAAAACTCTAAGTAAAACGTTGATAATTTACCTTGAAACGATACAGTTTACAATTTACTATACTAGTGTAAATTCTCTCTTTTACTCTTGGTATATGAAAAGTGTTTTAGTCGTTCCTTGATTTAATTCCTTTTAAATAAAGTTTTTTTCAAAAAAAAAAGAAGTTCGACTGTTTTTTTAAAAAAAATTTATTTATTTACATTTTTCACTCGAACATTCATGGGAAGGAATCCATTCATAATGTTTGTATGTGATTACACAGTTCTCGTATTAATGTTTTTTTGAATAATGTGATAATTATGTGTTACCTGTATTCTTATTATTTTTTACTGTATGAAATTATTGTTCACTCGATTTAAAAGAAAATTAATTAAATTTACGATTTATAATGCAAGTGTTTTTATTTAGTAAAATGGGTTGGTAGCTCCTGCAATTTTTAATAAAAAAAAGTTTCTTTTTAGTGATTATATGAGTTAACAATGATGTATATCTTATCTGTTCAAAGATTACGTCTCAAATCAGAAAATAAGTTGTTGCACAGTGTGTATAATATTATGTCATAATGAAAGTGGCATCTCGTTTGGGGTAGAAAAGTCGGAGGGTTAGTAAAATATCAAAGGACATTTTATAACGTCATCAAGGCCTCCAAGTCCCGTGGTATGGCCGAGAGTGGGGAGAGACGGACCTCCCCCTTGGAATGCATTCACATGGCCACGCGTATACAGCCTTTGCCAGGGAAGTCCTACTCACTGCTTTCTCGTGGCGGGGGTGTTGTTTACGAAATTGAGAGGATGAAAAAGCGAATGTCCGGCGCTTTAGCCAGGTTGGTGGACATGGAGAGTCCACTTGGGGGAGTTGGAAAACCCTGATTACAAACCAATGGTGCACATGGGCTCCAGTACCCGAGGGAATAAATGGTGTGTGAACTAATTGTCGGCCATCAGCTACCATGCGACTTCATCTCCTCATAATACTTCACTGTTTTGTGGGTCCGACTTTTAGGTCAAAGACTCGGGGTGTGGCCCCCCCATCTAACTTATGTTAGAATGATTGACATGTACCTAATGTTATGATGATTTGTGTAGTTTGATTGGTTTCAAAACATTGACGAATGGGAGGTAGTAGAAGTAAGTGTGGTGCATCAAGCTGGAATGAGAAGATTGACGACTAATGTACATCGATACTTCAACGATGACGACAGTAGACGAATAAGAGAGAATACGGAACTTTCCAAGTGAGGTTTTATGTCTTACGAAGTTAAGATTTACAAATAGTTTTTGATTAGCTTCTCTCTAATACAAAAGTCACTTGATTATTGGGCTGAAACTGTTATCATTTCCTATTGTGCAAAATGATTAGTCACCTAGTCAAAGATCATTACTGCATATCCGCTTTCTGTGTTATTTTCATTATCTATAACATAAGATTTGAATATTACTGTTCATTAATGGCTTTCTACACTGTTGTTGTTTTCTGTTCAGAAGCTTACATAACTTAGATACATTGCAAACCATGTCAGCTGACAATACACTAAAATACTAACAATGCTGCTCCAAGTATTTATCTGGAATGAAAGGAATGTCCATACATGTTATCGTGGTTGAACTCAAGTACTTTTTTGTTTCATGTCCAAATAAGTATTTAGAAAGTGACATAGGACATTAATCGTATCTTGGCATTGATAACATCCGTTAACCATCTCTCGGAAAATCTGCTCTTTCCTGGACTATGAGACAAATATATCAAAAAAGTAAAAGAAAACGGAAAATAAAGTATTAAAATAGCAATGTTGTAAATATAGGAATATAAATAAGTTTTTATTGTAAACGAAGGATAGTGGATGTTTCCAGGCTCATTAGGAGCCAAATATGTACAATATTTTGAAATTAAAGCCCTCTCCACCAAATGGTAAACTCAGTATGGAAATAAACGCTTTTTCCAAATCCTAGGACAATTACTTGTCAAACTCGTGCTAGTAACTTATAGGGCATATTTGAAGTATTTCTTAGCGAAGGGATTTTACTTCAAAGAAAAATCAAGTCGGCAACATCTACAGAGTTTTATAACAATATGAGATAATCACTCTCCCAGTATCTAGAGTTTCCTTAAGGATCTACACATTAGTCTAATAATGAAAGTGTAGGACATAACGGTGTCATGTTAGGTATTTTTATTAATCAGAAACACTTATAGGACATGTTTTGATTATAGTCATAATGTTATGGTGTTGGTCAATGAGGTACAAATATATTTATTTCAAATTTTTATTAATACTACTAAAGTATTACCAGTCTTCAGCTAATATACTAGTGGTATTTAACGTCAGTGAAAAACAAGTTATCCTTTCTTGTTTAGTAATATGACATTAAATAATGTAAAAAGTCCAAAAAATTATTTTCTTTTTGTCATACCCTATGTTGTTTGATTTTAATTGATTATTTGTTAAAATCCATTGAATTAGCAAGATTAACTTACATTTGTATTGAGCGGAATGTTTCGACTTGATAATAGACAAGTATAACTGAATTCTGCAAATTTTTTTAAAAAATTGATTTTAAAATGAAAAGAATTATAAGTTTAATGATAAATATGTCAAATTGTGTCTGAAATTTTTTTCCCGTAAAAACTCACTATCAACTACAAATTAGAACGAAATTCTACTGAAGCATGATTCTTCTACATTTTGGCCAGATAATTAAATACACTTACGTGAATTTACTTGTGAACTGTGTTGGTGATGTATACTGAGTGTTCCATTGGAAAGACCTGAAGGTTGTAGGTTTGATCCTTCTTTAGGTCATAGTTCCATAGCATTGAGAAGGCCCACACTAGGACGAAGTAACTGTGCAGTAGTAGCTGGTTTCCACTGATTTTCCAACCAGTCAGTCCGCGATAAAAAAACTTCGAAAACAATCTTGTTGGGTTTAACTAATTTTTTTAATAATAGGAGTTTACTATTTTTACAGACAGGTCAGTTATTCATGTTCAACGTGGAATCTTGTATATGCTTCATGACAAGTTGCCACACTACAACACAGCAAGATATCAGTGTAGTGTAAGTAGCAACAGTGTTAGAGTTCATAGAAAAGATTGAGTATAGAAGATACGGTAAATGTGATCTTTTGGAATAAAGAATAAAGTAAGGCAATTAAGAAAACAAAGTGTGAGTGTACCTTTACAGCTCAGAGATATGTCATCCAACTTTTAACCGTTTGTTACGATAAACGAGCTAACCTCAACTAAGTATATTTAAACTACCAAAAAGATTATTTAAACGTTGGTGACGTCAAGATATTTTTTTCTTTTGTTACTTTTAATTAACTTATGAATCAAGTCAATCTTATTAACAACGTACTTATTGATATACGTAATATTATTCAGATTATACTATTTGAATTACTAACTGTTAATCTTACATAGAGTTATACTCACAATTTATGCTTATAAGATACAAATAATAAGAAAATGTTTCATGATATCATAGTTTTTTTATAGTATCTGGAGTTCTGGATGATAATTATGACTTCTCAGTACCTAATCAAAAGGATAGCTACTACAGGTGTACAGTCAACATTTTGAAGTCAGCTTTTGATCCTGTTGTTAGCAGTTAATATTATATACGGAACTGATTGCAAAATATAACGGCTTCATAAAACATCACGTATATTGGTTTCTGTACAAATATCCTTATTTAATATCAGTTTTAAGTTGTTTTTTTTTTTTCAATTACTAGAATGAGATAAAATTAATTACATATATATACTAATCTGTTTACCTTCGGCTTTATCCGAGATATTCGTAGCGTGAAGTAAACGGATACCGTAGATTTCGGTATGGGTGAACGCCTAGAAGGTAGACTAAATTTCACTCGATATTTATGAAGCGTTTCATTCTTTAGTTCCACGATTGGCAAAATATCAACGCAGTAAAGCCACTTATCACTTATTTCCCAACACTGAAAGTACAAATGCAAACAATTGTTTAGAAAGTTGCAATTTTTATATCATTCAGGCTTGCTTATAACAAAATAGACAAGTGTTCTAGAGACATTTTGACAATTTAAGACTGCAATCTTATAATCAATGTTTCTCAAACCTAGTTTGTTTCATAACTGAAACCCATCAGCTTATAACTATCATGGTACTTCGCACTTTGTAAAATGGAACTAGGCAATTGTAATAGAAATTCAGCTTCAGTCACAATATATCTCCTTCATTAAATAATGTAGTGTCCAGTCATTATTGGAGTACTTTATTACAAACGCAAATGTATATGACAACCTAAGACTTTCTAACTCATCGAGGTTGGATTCGAATAAGAAACATGAATACATAATACATCTTTGCAATAGTTCTAATAATCGGTCCTCATTAATTAACATAATAACACTCTTGATTGCATATATGATTTTATTATCTGCACATCCTTCGTTTCAAAATGTTTCAATGAATAAATAATATATAGTCAATTTAGACTCGTTATCTTCATCTTGTAAATTAAAAATACTATAGAAGCCATTGCAATATGAATGATATTCCTCATGTTCGAAGCATTCAGTACGTTTAAATATTGTATATAAACACAAAACCTCCCACAGATATAACCGTGGCGATCTAAATTTAAAATTATCACCTTATCTTTGATTTCTAACAAATATATTACTCAATCATTACCTTTACATATTTCTCAATTTTTTCCAGTCCTAATTTTGGTGTAAATTCTTCAATAGTAGGCCATTGTATATTAGGAATTGGTAAAGGTTTATCTGATAAGATAATTTCATCATTGATTTCATATGAACTTTCATTAGGATATAATTTTTCCAAATCATAATAATTATAATCCGTTGGGTTGATTTCATATGGACTTTCAGAATTCTCAGGTTTCATACTTTTACATTATTTAAAGATGACAAAATATATTAAATGGTATTATAAATAATTGTGATGTAAAAAAAACTTTGGTTTTCTGTTTTTCAATCTTTACAATAAAACATACATTTTTTATTTCTTGAGCGATTCACGCTTAAAATTAAATGAACAGAAAGTATATAATCAAAAACTTCACGCATCCACGATCCCGCACCACGCGTACTGCTGTGGAGTCCCATGCTAGGAAAAAAATTCCGTCCAGTGCTTCCATGTTTTCCATGGTGGTCTAACTTCAATTGGCTCATGATTTCAATCAGTGAAATTTCTAAAATTTCCACAAAACCCCTTCTGATAATCAAAAACTTAAAGAATATTTATCTGAAGCCATGTTTTGCTCATTCAAAAGTCGTAAACTAACAATTGCATTCGAACCCACACAGTAAGGGATTGTCTTCTGGACGTTTTTTTATACTCATCACAAGTGTAAATAACTATTTTTTATTTATTGAATATAGTGTAGGCATAAACGTTTTACATTTATTGATACCACTAATCATATTAAAATTTAGTATTCAACACTTTGAACGATAAATTTATGATAATCATCTTATAGCCACTAATTTTTTAGGACTTTCGATTTCCATTTTTGAATTAAATTTTAGGAAAGACAATTCTTTCCTGGTGTATGAATCCGTTATAGCTCATTTTTGAAGCATCCAATGATAGATTTAAAGCATCTCGGGAACCATGTACTTTTATCTTATCAGTCATTAACGGAGCTGAATTTCAAAAGTACATTATACAACTTTCATTTGTTATTTCAAACTATTAATTGCCCAAATTATATATTTGTAGTAACTAGATAAATTCGGAATAATTATATCCTATATGTTTGCCTTTCATTTTGATAAATCTTATTTCGACATTTAGTTTTCTACATTTGAATACAGAAATCCTTTCAAATAGATAGATACCTTATTTAGAATTAAACTATTGTCAAATACACGTAAAGTTTTATTGAGAAAAATCAGTAATTTATTCATATAACTCTGAGTGGAATGAATCTAAATAGTTTGCATTAAGTTAAGTACAAAAAACGGTAATATACAGATTCATTTGACTTGTATGTTACTTTCAGTTATCAGTTTATATGTATTATACGTGGGAATTTGTCACAATTTTTGTGATTAACTTGATCAAAACTAAGTAAAATATGCTACTAGCTTGTTCGAAATTAACTCACATAATTTATTGAGGAGTTTATGAATACCTGAGAAATTGCTAAATTTTTATTGAATCCGTAGAAAAAAATACTTTATGTAATTCAAGGAATATTCAACTTCATGAATAATTAGATGACGGTAAGATATACAAGGTGGGTTCGAAAGCCAAGATACCCATAGCATACTGAATTTCACATCAATTCATTGACTCTTAGAAACTAGTACTCGAAGAAGTGGTGTTCATACCTTCAGTTGACTCATTTAAGAGAAAACTAGACATTCATAGAGGCTTACTAAGAAAGAACTTAAAAAGACAATTGGTTTTCTGTCCACAGTATGAAAATCTGTATATTATAATCCAATTGTTCCACATTACATTAAGCTATTCAAAAAAATAGTTTATTCAAAGGACAAAATATTTAAATAAAAAATCCGGATTACTTACCTTAGTTTATTAAGTAGATCTTTTTCATAGACACGATATAATGATGACTGTATTATTGATGTTATTAGATTACGTATCATTTCTGGAGATTCATCTGATTTCCCTTGACTAAAATGTTTGTAGGAATTATAAAAAAGGATACTCAAAATCACATCTAAGTTCCTAAAAACTAAAATATATTGTAGGAATCATTGGAAACTCCGAATACATGTTAACATCATTTAAGAAAGTTCTTCAAGTTTCTTATATATTTATATAAATTCAAAATATTGAATCTTTGTCGTTCATTTTCAGCATGTGTTGGAAGTCAAATATTATTTTTTTAATTGTCACAAATGTTTTACAAAATTGTTTTGTGTAGTAACAGTGATTTTCTTTAAAACCTTTATTGAAATCATGAACTGACCTAATGGAGAACATCACTGAAACCTTAGAAGCAATGGACGGCCATTCCACCCTAGTATGAGACTTCTCAGAAGTACGCATCCATAGCCGTCCAGTGCTTCCAGGTCTTCGATGGCTGTCTCAATTAGATCGGTCCAATAAAACTCAAAACTCCTTACTACCTCATGCTGGTAATTGTCGTTTGCTCACTAGTGACTGGTTTTGAGAGAAAATGCTCAAAGTTCTAGTGAGAAGCCGTAACTGGTAGGACTAATCGGTGTCAGGCGTGAGACAGTTACCCACTAAAGATAATAAAAGATGGTCATGCAATATCGTGGAATAATTAAAGTTAGACAATAACATCGGTGAATACCGACTCAGTGGTCTAAAAACTAAACATTCACGTGCGAGACCGAATATTCTAGGTTTTATTTCCGGTTGCGTGGTCGTGGATGAGGAGTCCCGTGCTAGAAAAAAACGGCTTTTCAGTGCTACCAAGTTTGCATTAGTGATCTAACATCAATCGGTTCATAATTTCAATGAAACTCAACAATTTTTACGACCCTGTACTGCAAAAGCTTTAAATCATTGTTGTGATATATGTCTCATTTCTACGTGTTGCGCATCACTGGCACACAAAAGTAACTACATTTTAAACTAAATATGTTTATTTGTATAAAAGCTTCAATTTAAGTATTCGCAACTATTTATCTGAAACTAAATTACAGTAATTGGCATTATTTGACATTATGATATACTTGAAAATAATCAGAAATGAAAACTTAAATAAAAACAAACAAACTTACCCTATTGTGGCACCATGCTGTTGAGTTTTTTCAGAATTTATGTCAACTTTCGATGAATCACTGTTTAACTTTTGTACATAGTCTATAGATCTCTGAATAACTGAATCCACTATTGATATTATCGTTTCCATGTATTCACTTGAATTTTCATTGGTATTCTCCACTATTGGTTCTATATGTGCATCCTTAATTATAAAAAAATTATTCTCTACAAGACTGTAGTCTTCATAGAATCATAAACACATTGTCATTCGTTTAGAAAAAAAGGGTTTAATTTTATTCAACCAGTGGATCATATACAAAGTATATAACAGTATACTGTAAACTCAATCACGGTTCATCAGTTGTCATTCAACAAACATTCAACTTTTTAAAATGTATTTACCTACGAAAAGATTAACAAGAGTAAAAATAAACCATCTCTTATATGATTAATTTATTCTTCAACATAATATTACATTGCATTTGTGTTGCTATCTAATTAAAGGTTATTGCGAAACAGGATTGATAATACTCTTATAATAAGTGAGGTTTTCTAATAAACTTTCATGTAATTTTAACAATTAAAATAATAAGGCAATACAACCAACTGCTAATTGATTGATTATTCATTATTTTTTTCCCGCAATTTTCCATCTTCAATTAGTTGACCCTTCTTTTTTGAAACCTGAAAATATTGTAATTATGTTAATTACCCCATTTATAATTAATAATAATTCACATTTTACAAATATTATAGAGAGTTTTACAAAACGTAATGGGAAAAACTGGAACATGATCCATAAATTTTAAGAACATAGTTTTTTATTAAAGTCTACAAAAACAAGACCTAGAATAATTTTCGTTTAAGTTTGAATGAATAAGTTCAAAACAGTTTGACACCAAGTCTATAGAAGGTAATTAAAAATAAATTGAAATAAGGTATTCGTTCACAAGTTTGTAGCACATTCATTTTTCAACGATCAATATATATATATATATATATACATATATATATACATATATATATATATATATATATATATATATATATATATATATATATATATATATATATATATATATATATATATATATATAGCACCAAGCATTTTCGAACATTTTACATTTACTTAGTGCGTTAACGCTGTATTTAAGGGCATTGTTTTCACTGATAATTTTATTTCCAGCTCCAATATTTACGATATTTATTGCTTTATCCAACAAGTTGGTATACGCTATAATGGGATGTTCATAAAGAATATAAGTAGATTGATTAAGATGATTGAAATGAAGTGCTGAGTGATAATTATGTTCTTATCTGTAATACTCCGAACTGTCATCAGAATTGATTACCTCAAGTGGTGTTCGTCAGGGCTGTCCACTCTCCCCATTCTTGTTCAACTTTGTGGTCGACGTACTTTTAGAGATAACACTCTCCTCATCTAAATTTCCGGGGGTTGAACTTCTACCAGGAGGTTCACTTGTTGACTTAGAATATGCAGATGACATAGTTTTATTTGGTGAAGACGCTGACAAAATGCAGAGTCTTCTGACCACTCTAAGCAACAATGCAAGCATGTTCGGGATGCGATTCTCTCCCTCGAAATGCAAAATGTTGCTTCAGGATTGGGTTACATCGACACCCGAACTAGTGATAGGGAGTGAAGTAGTTGAGTGTGTCGACCGCTTCACTTATCTTGGAAGTCTCATCAGCCCTTGTGGTCTGGTGTGTGACGAAATCTCAGCACGGATACAGAAGGCTCGACTAGCTTTTGCCAACTTGCGTCATTTATGGCGTAGGCGAGATATCCGTCTACCAACCAAAGGACGTGTTTACTGCGCAGCAGTTCGTTCTGTCCTACTTTATGGCTGTGAAACATGGCCGGTAAGAGTAGAGGATATTCGTAGGTTACTAGTATTTGATCATAGGTGTCTTCGAAGTATTGCTCGTATATCCTGGGACCACCGAGTAAGTAACGCAACTGTTAGGAAACGGGTACTAGGTAAGGATGGCAAATCAATTGATGAAGTAGTGAAACTTCATCAGTTGAGATGGCTGGGACACGTGTTACGTATGCCCAACCACCGACTGCCTCGACGTGCTATATTCAGTGGTATAGGAGTAGGTTGGAAGAAAGCTAGGGGCGGCCAGACCAAAACATGGCACAAATCCATGAAGTCACTGACAAGTGGACTGAGTCATGTTGGTAGGTGTAGACTACCTGGTTGGGGACCGCGAGATGATAGCAACCGATGGTTAGAGACCCTGAATGACATGGCTCAAAATCGGTTGCAATGGCGCAGGTGCATCCACTCTCTATGTTCTCCCAAATTCTAATTATCTGAATTCTTCATGCCCCTTTTTTTCCTCTTTCCAAATTTATTGCACTGGATTTTACTCGTTAAATAACATCTCCAAACCCTAATCTTCCCGATTACTGCTTATACTCTTGCTACCTCTACCACTACGGGATTTGAATCGACCACTGCATCTCTGTGCTAATGTGGTATGGCAACTCGAACTGATGTACGTACGTACTAAGTTCTACGTTGTTACTGACAGATCTGTAATACTCACACAATAAATAAATAGAAAAATAGTCGAAAATACTAGATACTTGACTTTTCTCAAACATTGAAAAAGTAAGTGATAACCTCAGAAAAATAAATTATATATATAATTCTGAATTTTCTCTACTCAAACTGGTCTGAGCTTTTTTTTGTGTGGAGATGCTCGAAGTTATTTTTAATTAGAATTGCTGATATTTTCTACAAATATAGTTCGTCTAATGAATAAATTAGTTGAAATTTTAATTTTTGAAGTATGCAGCACATAACAGTGAAACCAAATGAATATTTGCTTTCTAAGTAAGAAATAACTAAATTCAGAAATAACAACTGTAAAGATTATGGTAGCATTTGTTATGTGTTAAAAGAAGATTTCGCATTTTCAGTGATAAGTATGCAACTAATATCAATAGTTTACTCAATTGTTTTTTTACACATATATTTGGAGTCATAGGCACTTACTTTAATAAGTCAGAAATTTTTATTCATTAAAAATTTGTTCAGTCTGTTTCCATATTCATATCTTGGACATAATGGTAACCAATACTTGAGTATTACAAATAACCTAATATGCACTGTCCTTTACTGATACTTTTTTCTTAAGTTTTCTGTTTTTGTTTTTTTGTTTCATGATTGTAACATTGTTTTTATGCTAACAAAACTGTATATAACATTCGCATATTTATCGAAACCTTTTTTACAAATTTTTTCATACTATATTATGCAATCTATCAATTATATAATTAAATGTATCATATCATTCATTTATTAAATGATACTTTCGAATATTATTTACTTTATCTATTCAATCTTTCAATTACTTAATCAATCATTTGCAATTATTTTTTGTGATAATGTTTGGATTTGTAATATTATTATGTAACACATTACCACCGATATGCGTTCGAATCCATTATTATTTTCATTCAAATCACAAATCGATCAAATCGAAAATATCATTGGAAACCTGGAGGTACTGGACTGCCTTTACGTCCTATTATTATTATTATTATTATTATTATTATTATTATCTCTTTGTCTCTTCCATCTTTTTTAAAATAAATGCTGGGAAGCAGTTTGGTAGATCATTTGATTGAAACATACTTTCAACTGTAAATGATTGTTAACAACGTGTTTTGTTTATTTAGCTCATATCCAAGTTAGAAAAAACGTCATTAGCGTAAAATATGGCGTAATCGTGTGTGTAGATTTGCACTATCAAACATGAAATAAGTAAATTTCAAAAACATTACCAAAATGAAAAGTGAAAGAATGTTCGTAGTACTAGGAAAGCTGAAAATTAGAACAAAGATCAAACAATATAACTAAAGAGATCATTTTCGATTGTTACTGTCTCAAACTACGTATCACAGCTTTTTCACAAGCCTCAATAAGAATCCCGCTTAAGATGGGTAGTCAAATTTAAATTATATTTCATCAATATAACAAACACGTGCTTAATAAAGACTAGTTTGGCGGAGAAATGGTGAAATTTTAGTGAAAGGCCATGATAAACATAGTTCAGTCATGTGTTTAATGAAAAATATATATAGCTGATTCCGCAGATAGATGGTCGTCAGTCGACTGAAGCAGAGGATTTTAACCATCGAGTACGAATTCTTCAACATAGCAGTGTCATACTCGTCATGAAATCTTAACGTTCTGAGTTTGATTCATTAGAAAGCTTTCCACGGAGATTGCTGAAAAGTCCGAAATTATTAACCAGTGCTAATCAAGCTAAACTTTTAAATGTTATTTATTTTTAATGCACTTAAAACCTCTAACTTGACGCTAATTTTCTTCTGCCTCTAAGTCTTTATTTGAATACTTTTACATACCAAAGAAATCACTTGTCATGAAACAGGAAAAACATTAGTGTCAAACGTTAATATATTTAAAGAACCGAAGTTTCCGAAGTGAATAAATAGATAATACTTGTTATTAAACCTAAATATCTTCTAACAAAGATCATATTATTTTTGTAAATTTCTGAGTATTGATTTTATGTTTTTTTCCTAGTAACACTTATTCATTTTTATATTCTCCCATAAAAATGTTCTCGTTTCAGGATTTATGTGTTCGTAATATCCCTATAGTTGCCTGGAGTACATGACTGTGTTTGAGTGAAAAATAGATATTATGAAGTAAACAATAAAACCGAATCCTGAAACATTGATCATGTTTTATGTGGCAAAATTATTCTTCAGTAATACAGAGATTTGAAGTTTAGACCACATGCTTTGCTCACTAATTAACCATTATTAAATGATGCATAACATGTAACAGTGAAATAGAGCATTATTAAATATAATTATTACAATATAGTGTATAAAGCAATTATTTTAAATGAATTACTTCAGACAGTTTTATGTTCTCAAATATAGTCAAGATTTATATAGTCAAAACAAATCAATTAAATTCTTGATATTTCTCAGATTTCAAAATATAGAATAAGTTGTCTGTTAAATCTTACTAGAGATTTCAAACGAATACTCTCATCAGTAACCTGTACTCAAGTCCGTGGATGTTCTATCATATATTCAGTCAGTCAGTCAGTCAGTCAGTCGGCTACAACGTAGGACCAGGCACATATGTCTAACTTGACATATTCTTAGTAAATACATGTAACTTGTTAAAAATAATCAGTCAGCTGTGATTAATCTAAGGGGAATTATGTGAGTTTCAAAACGATAGGTCATTAATCTTATATTTGTACATTAATTTAATCAAACAGTCATTCAAACATTTAAAAAATATTTAGGAAAATGTAATCCGGTGTACCATATTTACGAAAACCAATTGGCTAGTTATATATGTATATATAAACATTCATTAAATACACATTAGAATAAACATACTGATTTTTGATGATACATAGTAAATTTTGATATGTTAGTCATGTATTTAAGAGTATTCGCCCAATCATGTTCCCAATTCTCTCGATTATATAAGTTTTTTGAATTCTTCAGTCTTTTAAGAATTTCTTTATTTTCTTGAGTTACTCGCTTGACTTCTTTCAGTCTTTGTTCTTCATTTAAGCTAAAATGATCCAAATGAGAAAGAAACAGTTAAACAATAAAATAATAATTTGTATTGTTTGTATTACTATAAACAGATGTATATGTTTAATTGGAATATTATACAAAATATATTAACCTTTTTTCTATATACTGATTATTTTCATTGCCCATAATACCATGTTTCTGAATTTCATGCATCCTCTTCAAAAGACGATGATTTTCTTCTGTTATTCTTTTGAAATTTTCTTTTTCAATCTAGTCATTAATATTTATTTATTTAATTGTAATTGAATTATTGATTTCAATTTAGAAAGTAATTTGATAATTAATGTAATTGTTTATTATTTATCTTTAACTACTTATTAAACTACTTACTCTGTCTTTTTTAGAATTTAAATGAATAATCTGAAATGTTTTTGGTGCAGTTGTATCCACTGTCGATTTCATTTTAGCTAACTGAACTCAAATCATATTGAAAGAATCAATAACAATAAAATAAATATCAACCATATGATTGACAACAAAAGAAAAAGTTATGCAATGACAATATACACAACATTCAATATAAGATAATAGAAAATGTTAAAATTTTTTCCTTATTCTGTTATCCTAAATTTATTGTAAAGTTGGGTTTTTAAACATTTTAGTTGAATATTTTATAATCGTTAATTTACACTATTTGAAGTGAAACAATGTTATTATTTCGATAGTGTAATAAGAAGATGAAGATTATCAGAACTAAGTGATATATTAGCGCAATACATGTCGAACAATCTGATCACACATATGCTTGTTAAGAGCATTTATATATATAAATAAAAGGTCAACTAGACTGGAAATGGGGTAAGAGAAGATAATGATAATGATAAGAGTAATAATAATAATGTGAACACAATTCAAAACCTAATCACTATGGATAATAAGTCAATATTACTAGGGTAGGTTCAAGGTAAGAACAAACTGTTTTTGAACACACAAAGGGGGTTTGAATTTTCGTATGGCTAAGGCTTCAATAAACCTTAGTGTACGCCCTTTTGCACTTTTATACAACACCACAAAAGTCAAGTTTAGATCAGTCTTATGACCTGTTTCAATTATATGTTTAGCAATAGAGGATGATGGATGTTTATCCTCTGCTCTTATTCGGTTACTTGATTGTTTAAATGCTCTTAACAAGTATAGATGTGATAAGATTGTTCGAAATGTATTGCACTAATATATCACTTAGTTCTGATAATCTTCGTCTTCTTATTACATTATCGAATTTATCAAAGGGACTAATTGTTTTAAATGTTATTATTTTTCATATTCATATTATAAGTAATATTTTCATATTGTGATGTGTGCTACTCATAAGTAGTATGTATCATCAATCGAAAGTGCAATTCCTGAAGGCAGAAGGTTAAGATCAAAGAATAGAGAAAAGGAACAGAGAATGATTGCTATGGAAGTGAAGGAACACTGAGATCTGAAACGATTGATTGACGTTTGCAAAATTAATAGTCAAGTTTGAGACAATTGATTGAAATTTTGCAAAATAAATATTTACTGTATGGTTCTCAGATTTTACTAAGACATCCTGTAATTTTGTATTCAAATACATTTGATTGTCCCCATTTGTGTTCTCGTTCACTACAATATGATTACAGAGTTCATTATGAAGTATTACTAGGTACATAATACTATTTCAATAAATGATATACCTAACGAACTAGCTATAAAGTTTGTGAAATTTTCTCAATCATAAACATTTGATAACATTTTGATTTTGGTTTTATTATACAAAAATACAAAACAATATTCACTTGAGTTTTCACAGGAAAACCAATCGAATCTTAACAATGAATGATATGCTAACTAAGGATATTAAATTGATCAGAAATATTTAACAAAATTAACACTATTTTTATTTACTATTATGTTTTCTATGCTTTTGAAATGAGAAAAAGTTATGTGTTGGCATGGGTAAATTAGCGATTGCCCGTAATATTCAAGTAGTACAACACATATTTTTATTTTAACCCTGATTTTATGTGTAAAACTTTTGACTTTATCATCCTCTCTTCTAGTATTTTCATTTTCTCATTCAATGTAGTATTCTGTATTTTCAAAATATTGTTCCCTTTTCGCTTTTAATAAAGTCTACATTTAATCCACTAGACTGTTTACGTAAAAATCTTATATATAGTTATAATTTTATACTTTAATATGAAAATGGATTTACTACTAAAGCGAAATCTAACATAAAAGAAATTGATCTTGGATTAAAAATCGTCGAAATTTATTTGAATATTTGAGTGTTGTGTTTTGTGTCATCCATACAAAATTTAGAACGTCTAGGGTCATTTAGGTTCTCGCAACACAGAATAGCTTTGTCTAGACATAGATTGAAGAACAGTTAGGACTATTTTAGCATATAAATCATCAGCAATGCGACATTCCTAGAGATAGAACCCATGAAATTCATGTATCTCAATGAGTCTTTAGCTTTAAGACTACTGATTTGGCATATAATGACTTACAATTCTAATTTCAGGCCATGCGCGATATTGCACGACTATTGTCCGGTAGCATTGGCGAATACCTCCACTGATCATGGCCTCTCAATAGAATTCCGAGAATCACCTCTTGAAGTCGCTTATAAGTAATCACACCATGACTATTAATATAAGTTAGTAAGGTGATTCTTGCTCACTAAGTCCATTTCAAAGGGTTACATGAGTATTACCGTCTACATAACACCACTTTATAATTTTTGAACCGACAGAATATGAAAATCTAATATTAGCGAAATACAATCATTTTGATTTTGGAGGTGTACATGAAGATTTTACTTGTCAAAACGATGTAATTTATAGTTTATGGACTTAATTAATTTTATTATTACGGTTGTTGAGTTTGATATTTATAACTGACACTACATTCTCCAAAGTTCCATATTCTTTTAGTTTTTGGCTACTTAATTTGCTAATTAAATTTATCATATTTGAAATCGTACTATGATGTAGAACGAACAAAAGCCAACTTTTATCAAAAAACCAAGACGTTTCATTGTATATGTACTGAACATATCTTAGAATGCTGTATACAAGACTTCAATGGATTAGTGCACATTCGTTCTTCATCTTCATCCCTTTAATTTTTTGTAGTTATTCGTAAATAGATGACTACGTGAAAGTGAACCAAATTTGCTTTACCAATCAAATATTAGGACAAGTTATATTAAAAGTTGTTAGTTAATCCAAATGGTAGATTAAAATTGATTACAATTATAAAATTCCAAAAATAGTGAAGGGAATGGACCACAGTTTCACATGTATAAGGACTTGGACTTTTTAGGTTTTTTATAATTTCTCATTACCCACATATCTATTTAGTGTAAAAATAATACCTCAACGCTTGTGTGAAGATCATTGAACCATGTAATCAGAGTGCGCTGAACATTCGGAAGTAGGATCCACTGGTGGATGAAGAGGATATTCTAGCTCTATAAGGTAACCATCAGTAAGATGTTTTTGTTTCGTTAAATATTTGGTGAAGGTAGCTGCACGTCATGTATAAATCCTCAAAGATACCTTAATTTATAGATAAAGATTTTTAGAATATAAATGAACTAGTTTATCCTCTCAACAGTCTCAAATACATTATTTCTCTTCCCCCCCTCCCACCAAAAAACCAATTCCTACCTATCTAAACAAAAAATAAAAGACGAGAAAACAATTTTTACTTTTGAAAGGGCGCAGTTTCATGAACCCACATAACTCACAAATGGCATTTCCAAGGGTTGAATTGATATACGGGTCACATATCTGTTTAGTATTTTCGGAAAGGTAGTAAAAGGAAAGCATATTATATATATTTATAAAAAGCCCTACATAATGCATCAAGGTGTCTGTCTATTCTCAGTGATACTGAAACCGTTCGCTCTCACGATCTCCAAAGATTTCACAAAAGTAAATATCTGACTTGCTAGTTAGAGTTCGGTTTGGTTTCACACCTCGTGCTCACCGATCATATCTTTATTCCAAATCAAATGCTAAAGCTCTATCAAACTCATTTCAGGCCCACCTTCACTATATCTCCTGAAAGAAATTACATTGATTTGTTAAAATGCATCGTTCTCTTGAATTACTCGTCGAATGTGATAATTGTCCAAAATCATCATATAAGTTATAAAGGATTAACAAATCACCCCTTTACTCTAACATTCTGATGTCACGGACATTCTGAAAACATCAATGAAGGATGTACGTCATACCTCAAAGTTCTTGATCAAAATAAATTGGTAGCTAAGCATAACTGCAGTTCGTGAATTACATAAAGTGATCATAAACCCGCACGCATGCTGATTTGTCAACAACAAATGAAATCTAAATCTGATAGTCACTTACATTTTGGATAAATATTAACTATGCATGTTTTGTGTCAAGTATTTTGTATCCTCTTTGTTAAATCAAACGACTCATATTTTGCTGACCGTTGATTATCATTTGATATTCATTCATCGCGGGCTATTGAATCAATAATTTAAATTTGTTATTAGCTATCAAGTCAAGCGATAGACCACACATATCACAACTCATACAAATCTTCTTCCGTTATCATAGTTCAACATTCATTCAGCCACTCTGTTAACTCTGTTAACTATGGATAATGACAATAAATAAACATTTACTAAAAAAAACTTACCGCCTTTAAATGGGCATCCTGGTATCTTTTATCAAATTTATATTGAAGGGGTTTATTTTGACAAGGTTTCACTGAATAATGTAGGTTATACATAGTAGTATGTTCAGCAGCAGTGAAGGGAACAGACTACAATGAGTAGAAGACCTAATAAATTACATGAGAGAAAGTTATGAAATATAAGAAATAATCAACATTATTAATTTACCCCTTACTTTCCACAATATATATGTTAGTAAAGAAGAGATTAAAACAAATTTCGTATTGTTCAGTGCGCTCAACATTTAAAAGATAATTTCTGGAACTCATGTAGTATACCACGAGAAATTTTATAATATTTATTACATTTAAAAACAACTAGTCAATAATTTATTTAGAAATGTAAAAATTGACATTAATTGAATTTGGCAGTAAAAAGAACATTCAAAGAAAAGTATGAACACGTTTTTAAATTAATGATGTTACAATTAAATATGTTTCTTTTTTAATTTATATTTAAAGATCAAGGCAAGAAATGATAGTACTGGTTATAAATTTAAAATAAAAACAATCTATTATTTATCTTTGTATTTATTTGATACTCAAGCATATAAGTAATATAAGTTTCATGAAATATGTATGTACAACTATTTAATCTAAATACAAAAAGAAATGCTTTCAAGCCATTCTAATAATGAAATTGTTATGTCCCGATAAGCATAATGAATGATAACTTTTGGGATCCATTTATGGACCAATACTATGCGTATATTTTTATCGTATAATTATTAAATAACCAAAATATATATATTCATTTCCCTCTTATTATGGGCTTTATTTTGACCTATGAACTATTAGTATACCATTTGCCATTCTTAAATTATACCTTGTCTATTAATTACTACCTCCCACGTTCACAGCCACATTTGGCCAAATCTTGTACAAATGTTGTTTCCTATTTTATGGTACAGTGTGGTCTGTCTGGTTGGTATATAAACCTAGTATGTTTGAAATAAATAATTCATATTGCAGAGGTTGTGTTTGGTGTTCTGAACTTAACTGGTTGGGGTAGGCAGGAGGCAGGACCGATAAGTACTTTGGACTGCTCATACGGGTTTTATGCGTCATTTGTCGGATCTATGATTCACTGCTCTCTAATTGGTGGTATCGAACGCGTTGACAACTTCACTTATCTTGGAAGTCTGATCAACCCTAATGGGTTGGTATCGGACGAAATCTCAGCACGGATTCGAAAAGCTCGTTTGGCTTTTACCAACTTACGTCCCCTGTGGCGAAGGCGAGATATCCGTCTTTCAATAAAAGGACGAGTAAAATGCTTGGCAGTCCGTTCTGTTATACTTTATAGCTACGAAACATGGCCTTTAAGAGTAGAAGACACTCTCAAGCTACTAGTATTTGACCACAGATGCCTTAGATATATTGCTGGCGTCTGTTGGGATCACCGGGTAAGTAATAGTAAGGTCTGACGCAGGGTATTAGGTAATGATGGTAAGTCAGTTGATGAAGTTGTGAATCATCATTGACTGAGATGGTTGGGCCACGTGTTACGTATGCCTGAACACCGATTACCACGACGTGCAATGCTAACCGGTATTGGAGATGGTTGGAAGAAAGTAAGGGGCGGCCAAACCAAAACATGGCATCAGTGCTTGAAGTCACTAACTTCTAGTCTGAGCCATGTTATCGCATAGTATTGGTTCATAAATGGATCCCAAAAGTTACCATTCATTATGCTTATCGGAAAATAACAATAATCAACGTAATAAACTTTTTAATACAAAAACTTTATATATATATATATATATATATATATATATATATATATATATATATATATATATATATATATATATATATATATATATATATAATTTCATTTTACAAAGGTATGGTGGTATTTTAGAATTCATGCCATCTGTCATAATAAAAGTCTATCAATAACGAATGACACAAATGGGTGAAATAACTAAAGTAATTTTATTTAAAATTGTGGCCTATTTTGTGACATCACAATTTTTATAAGTACAAAGAGAGAATAAAAACGTAAAATATGATTAAAGATCACTAGTATTCGAATGAATAAGTTTGTATCTAATCTTGGATTCTTCGCAGTTGACACAAAATCGTTCTTAGATTAGTTTTAACAAATATCCAGCAATCATTTAGAATTATAAATGATCATAATCAAAAGGCCTTAAATTTCATGAATAAATTTTATTTTTAAGTCGGATATTTAAAAAAACCTGTAGAATTCTGTTTTCCAACTGACCTAAGAAATTATTCAACCCGGTCCACTACAATCATTACTACTTTCCACAGTATGTGATAAAGTCATCACTTACAATAACGTGAAGCAGATTAACGAGTCAATAACACCATTTATATCATCATCAAGAGTAATAGGAATTTTTGAATAGTTTTTAAGTGTATGAAACATTTAGATTAAATTTTAACTATATAATTCGTTAATATCCGTATACGACTTTTGTTCATCACACAATGTAGTTTTAACTTTTAATTTTACTTATCATCTAAGACACCTGAAAATTCTGAATTTAATTCTTTTTTTTAAAAACAACAAAACTTTTGTAATGCCTTTTAATTATATTGCAATTAAGATGCAAAATATAGTTTTCCTCCTAGAAATAACTTGATAAATTGTATTCTTGTGTTTTATTTGTCTGTAAAACTCATGTTTCTTTTAAAACTCTAAAGCTGAATTCTAAGTATTGCCTTCACAAGTTCGCACACTTTATGTTTGGATGTTTTAATTTAGTTTCTGGATAACCTAAAAGGTAAGTTATGAGAGGAACAGTGTTTTGACTGTCATATTTCTTCACCATCTCATTATCTTTATAATACAATAAGAATATTATAATAGGAAAGTTACTTTATCACTTAAAAACGCATATCATTTAATATAGATTTATAAGCATGTCAAAAATTTAATATTGTGATAGTTTATCTGGACCTAAAAGCCTAAAACTGATATAATTGTTGCTCTTTTCAATTCTCTTATGTTCATTATAAACAGTATAAAGTTGAATAGAGCAAGAACAAACATTGATGCAGAATAGTATGAATTCATATTATTTCGAGGTTTCTCGTCAGCTGCTTACAAACCAAAATTGTGATAGAATTTTTTACATGGAGATAGTGTGAAAACAATTGACATAAATGAGTGTAAATAACTGGATTACAATAATAACTATATATATATATATATATATATATATATATATATATATATATATATATATATATATATATATGCTAGAAACAGGTCAGAGGTCAAAAGAGGGGGGGTTAATCCAGCGTGGGTGGTGTAATAATTTAGTGAAGTTCATAAATTGTAATAATTGTAGAGATTAATGAAATTAAGTAATGATAAGGTAGATTACGTAACAATAATTAAATAGAATTTGGAAAGTTAAGATAATTTAAGAGGATCAGGTGGTGGAAATGTGTGAATAAAATTTATTTTAAAAATTAGGTAATAGGGGGGAGTATAAAATATCTTAGAATAAGTAAATGAAAAAAATAACCAAAACACAAACAAACAGAAACAAAAAGATTACCAGGGTAGTGATAAGTTTATTAAAGTCTCTTTTTGAATGCAGAAATCCGGTTTCAGTTTCTTAATCGCAATCGCTTCAGCAAAGCGGAGAGTGGTAATACTTTTTTTTGTCTATTGATAATTTTGAACGCGTGCAGAATATCGACGGTATGCCCGGTGTCAAGTAGATGCCGAGCTATTGCACTGTTAAAAGCTTTGGTCCCTCGCAGCGTCAAGTTCTTAGGGATATGCTCAGAAATGCGAACCTGCACTCTTCTCTCAGTTCTTCCAATGTATGTGCTACGGCACGTACATGTGAATTGGTAAATGCAGTTGGAGCAACTGAGGGGAGAGGAATTGTCGATCTTCGTTTGTTTCAGTGAGCAGTATGTTTTCCATAACGTAGTCAGTTTGGCTGCCGGGTAGGTCACTTTTAAAGCGGAATTAATTCTGTGATTGATAATTCCGGCGACTTCATCTCCTTTGAAGCACAAGGATAGGAAGCAGGTTTTCTTTTCAACTGTATCATGCTTAATCGGAGGGTTTGTATTAGCATATTTGTGGATGAATTTATCCGGATATGCATTTTCACGTAGGCATTTGGTGATTATAGTAATTTCTTCTTCGAGGCATTCTTTTGAGCAGATTTTTCGTGCGCGGTCAAAAAGGTTTCGCACAATACCCTTTTTATAACTCATTGGACAGAAGCTGTTAAAATTGAGATAAACTCCGCTCCAAGTATTTTTGCGGTGAATGTGTCTTTGTAGTGTGCCGTCTGATGTTCGCCTAATTCCAATATCTAGGAAATGGAATTTATCATCAGCTTCATGTTCCATGGTAAATTCTATATCTTTATGTACTTTATTGAACAGACTAAGTAGGTGCATGGAGTGTTGGTGATTTTTGCAGACAAGGGACGTGTCATCCATATATCTGCAGTAGAGAGTGGTACTGTCAATTGCGTGCTTCAGTTTCTTATGTTCCAGATGTCCCATAAATATGTCGGCAAGAATTGGGCCTAGAGGGCTGCCAATTGCTATTCCATCAATTTGTCGATACAGAACATTGTTGAATTTAAATTGTATGTTTTTCGTACACAAAAACAGGAGCTGTTTAAATTCCTGGGGTGGTAAAGGCAGGAGTTCTGGATATTCACATATGATCGCTGCCGTTTCTTCCAAGGGGATATTTGTGAAAAGCGAAGAGACATCAAATGAAACCATGAATTTGTCAGAGACATTAAGGTTATCAAGTTTTTGTATAAATTCAAAGCTGTCCTTCAAACTGTAGGCTGCTAGTTTTTTCCGGATTGGTTCCAAGCATCTAGTAAGCCAGCGGGCAAGTTTATGGAAGGGTGATTTGGCCATCGATAATATTGGTCTTATAGGGGTGTCGGGTTTATGTGTTTTGGGTAGCCCATATAAATATGGCAATTGTGACCCTTTTGGTTTGAGTTCGTTATACGTATGAATATCTATTAGATTTTTCTTAACAAGTTCTCTCAACTTTCTTAAGACACGTTTCTCTGTCGCATCTGTTAAGTCTTTCTGGGTATTGTCGATGATAAATCTGGTGGAGTTATTTAAAATGGA